TTTGTAATGTTGTCGTAAGTAGTGGGTACTTACTAACTTTTAAACTTTCGCGTTTCATCTTAACAACAGTTGCACAGGTTGCACAGGTCGTGGTCACAAGCAGACTGTCAGTCTGCTTGTGACCACGACCTGTGCAACCGGGTCGAAACGTCAAGCCTACCAAGGTATTCAAATTATAATTTTCCGCGTTAATACCCGCGTAAATATAATGTTGTTAGTGGGTACTTACCTAGTCTTACCAATGCTGACATGACGTTAAGTGTCGTAGCTAATAAGCAACAGAATAACTACGTCACTGCCACCAACATATTGTGGGATAGTGTAGGACGTTGCAGAAAACGTTACGCGTCGATTGATGCTAGTGAACTAAACGACATGCACGCACACTCCCCTACTACAATGATGTTGTAGAGCTAGCAACATCACCATCACCGAACATATTATAACTAAGAACTTTTTCATCGAAAATCTGAAACTTAAGCAAAAAAAGTAACATCAAAATCACACAATTCTACTTTACACAATTCTAATTGACTAAGTATTACCTAATCATGAAATTTTTATAGGTCGTGCAAGCGTCGTTTGTATTCTGGCTGTGGAGGCAATCAAAACAATTTCGAGACCAAGATGGAATGCTTGGCCACTTGCGTGACAGGACCAAATAGTAGTTTGAGTCAGATGAAAACTTTCACTACTTGTGTACCTTTCACCATCCCTGATGTTTAACCGAATCAATAAATAAACTTAAAATGGTGACCAGTAAGTCATCAGGCATCACCACTGTCACTGCTCAAGAAGTTGAACGAAATCTTTCTGTGGACTGAAATATATATAATAAATTAGTGAAAAATATTAGTGTGATCAAAATAGTGTTTTCATTACCCTAACCTAACTAGTCTACAAACAGCTTCAATCAGTTTTATTTAAGGCACATGTTCCGCTTTATGAAAGTATTTACCCTGAATGCTTAACTGCATACCGGGTACCAGGGCCCCCGCCTTGTTTTTACTTTTTAATCAGTAAGAGTGTGAACACACACATAGAATTAACTAACTACCTGCCCCGAAGAAGTTAATGATTAAAGAGTATTTATTTGAATTTAAAGACATAAAAACAATATGCTTTCAGCTTTTACAAAAATGAATACGTTTCTATTGGTCAATCACATTTTATGAAGTAGATAGATAGAGAATATTTGATTTTAAGACATTTCTTGTAACACTGTTACTTACATAAGTACGATAGGAGAACAAGTTATTAATACATTTATAATTAAGTACTTAGCTTTACTTTGTCAACGAAATATCAGTCTGATCCTTTCTGCGTGTATACTACCTTGAGTAGGTACAAACTACACATAAAATATGTAATATGCAATATGAAGCCTTTATGGCTCAAGTTGCCCACATTCAATTTGCAGAATAATAAATAAATGGATAGCGTATTAGGAAATTGATTTCTGCTTTTATAGTTTTTCGATGTCGATAAGATGCTTCATATTGCACTCCGATGCAGTGTTTTGGAAAAATAATCTAAATACATAATAGCATGTAATGGTTTTTCAAGGCAAGGGAATATTTATTTTCCGAGTATTTTTTGTTTTGTTAATATACGTACTTTTTCATTGCAAATGTAATAATGGTGCAGATCAGCCACTATATGTCAAACAAAAGAGGTTTTGTGTTGCAGCGGATACAGACAATACGGTTCGAGGTACGGACGTAGATTAAGCTAAATAACCCCTTTATAATAGGACAGGACCAAAATTGGTGAAAAGTGTCTGCTTACATCCATCACGGAATGGTGTACCTATCTTATGATTTCGTATTGTTTGTATTTAGAACCGATTTTATTGGAGATAGTAGAATTCAGGATCTTCAAAGAAATAGAGACGCCATTAAGCTAAGCAAATGCTACTAGGTAAGTAGCTGTCTTGTTGATTTAATTAAGATCGGACACGAGTTTGATGTAAGCAAAGAATTAAACACTTTTAACAATTTTTTCGCTCTCGTACGTAAAGCTGAAATTTATACCTTAATCAGTGAAACTGATCTTCTTATAGAAGAAGTTTTAATACCAGGCAATACCAGATACTAAACTGCCGTCCAAAGTCGCAACGCTGCCATCCTTCTGGCTACTTTCCCCATTAGCATTGTAACACATGAATAGTTCAAGAGACGATCTCCGGCCGCCGTATGCGCGGATCTGCGGACGGCGAGAAAGGGTAGCCCGCCGCCCCCGACCAGAACCAGACCCGAGCGTATGGCGCGTAGCGTTCCGCGCGCGACTCAAAGAGTCAATAGACCACCATAGACAGGGCCCTATAGGGCTGATGTTCAGCTGGGGTTGCGGGGCAAGCGCAATGAGGCATCTTGACCTCGGCCCAGAGCAGGAGAAGGAACGGGGGGTTTTTAGCCAGTAATAGTCTGGGCGGGAGAAGTTATTTGATGACTTTCCCCTCACAAAAAAAAAACACATGAATAATTTTATTAGTACTTTAAATGCAGTTTTGGTTACAGCTAAACGCAAAGTATGCTTGCTGAGGCCTGATACTGGCCCTTGCAGAGCAGATATTTTGTCTTGGTACTACGATGCTAAGAAACAGAAGTGCTATCGTTTTTTCTGGGGAGGGTGCCAGGGGAATGGAAACAACTTTATCTCAGAAGCGGAATGTAAAGAGGAATGTTTCCTCAGCACAAAGATGAAAACTGGTGAGTGTTTTATTTTAATTATATTATAATAATAATGGTTTGAATGATGTACTTTTTTCTTGTTTTAAAATTATTTATAAGAACCTGGAAGTCTATAAACAAAAAAATCATCCCTTCTGAAATTGAATATTTTTATGCATATGTGATGTATTCATATTACCTGATGGAAAGCAATTTGCGCCGCCCATAAACACCCACATGACCACAGGAGTTGCAAGTGGGAATCACAACGCTGCGGTAGTTTTACACCGGTTTTCTATGAAGCCTTTGTATCCGGTCGAATCGGTCGAGAAAGCTCATGCGTGCCGAAGCCCTCTCCCACACTTATAAAAATAATCAACAGTAATGTTTTATACTAAATGAGTGCTTTACACAGGGTATTCATCTTTGCAGCACACACACCATATTTTTGTCAGCTTGCGTTTGATTTCGGAACTTGTTTTGGTCAGTATAATCGATGGACTTGGGATCACATTGCAGGGTAAGTACGTTTACATGTTAAGACACGTCAAAGATTTTTTTCTCTTTGAGAGTGCTTCGCAACAAAGGCTCGTGGAATATGACGTCATACTGTTCATGTCACAAGACGTCAAATATCCGGTCATTAGGTCTGGTACGGCCATCACCAGTTTAGAGTTTCAGTAGGAGACTCTTTACAGCATACCTATATGTATGTGGCGCGGGTTTCCATTTAAACTTTCAAGTACAAAGTTATCGAACTAAACTGATTTTAATGAAACTTATTATTCTGACGTGTTTTTTTAAGAGTTTAGAGACTTTCCTAGTTGTTTATCTTAAGTTTTTAGACCGTCATCAAAACACCTTGCTTCACTGGTAAACAGACTGACAGACTACTATTCTATTTTGACGTTTCAAAAGTCCCTTTTATGGCTTAGTTGGAATATATGATTTTTCTTTGACTTTGACTTTGACCACCTAATGTTATAATATACATATCTATATAATATGGTAAGTAGAAATCAGTAAAGCCATTTCGGAGGAGTAAGGTAACTAACATTGTGACACGACAATTTTAGGACTTTTTACTTCTAAACATCTAGAAAGGGTTATTCTGATATTTTGTTATTCGCTTTGTTTACTTTTTGACTTTATTTGTGTTACTTACAGACACTGCAGGCGACGCTTGTACTCTGGGTGCGGCGGCAACCAGAACAACTTTGAGACGAAAGAAGAGTGCATGGCCAACTGCATGTCGAAGCCAAACAACACCTTAAACGCTGCACATTCGCAGTTAACGACTTGTATACCATTCTCAATAGCCGAATTCAATTAATTACACTTGTCCATAGAGTTCATTGTCCCGTAAATGAAGGGCATCCGAGGTACCTTGATTAAACAGAGATGTTGGATAAAATAATATTTCAATGTCCGTCTTTCCTTTACTAGTTTTAAAAATTATTGACAGTAATTAGAACTTAACTTCTGGGATTATTTGGCTTGGGCTAATATGCCACGTAGTGGTCTTCAATGGCTAAATCTAAATCTGTAGTGGGTTATAGACAGTATGAATATTCCTGCGATTAGTATTAAAGAATTCATTCATCGATTTTACTATTATCTAACAACATAGTAGTAGCCCACTTTACATACGTTACTACAATCTCAAGGCAGAGCGAAAAGGTTGGGAATCGCTGTATTAAAAAAAAAAACAGCATGCCAGAGACCGCTGCTCCCTGGCCTCTCACAGAAGTGTAGTTCGTAAATAATGAAATTCGCAGAAAGAGTAACACTATGTAACAAAAACTTCGGCTGACATCAGGTTATCACTTAAGACTTTGGAGGACCTTAAAAAGAGTTACGGTGGGGTATCTATTGGTTAAAAGCACTATAAAATGAGAATGATAAAAAAATACATAAAGTCTAAAAATATTAAATACGCATTTTATTAATTTTCAACAAAAGCGAGTTGTATTGCTTGTGCATCATGATGTCAGCTACACGCGCTGCCGACTTCGGCCTTTCTTAATGACTTTCAAATGAGCCGGCTCAGGTTTTCAGATTGTCTGTCCAATTTGTGAGTAGATGTTCTGGGACAGACAGACATCTGTGCAAATGAAAATTAACATAAAGAGTGATATAGGAAAAGAGAAAGGATGTTTATCATTTATTCTTCTTCATCTGCGACTGTTCTCAGCATCACGAAGTACGAAAACGATGTTTTCAAAATCTGGAAACAAAAAACTCACCGTTATCACTTTTTTTTATATGTAATAATAGTAGTTTGTAGTAAATAGTATTTTGGATGCGTAAGTATGAATTAATCATATATTACCGTACCGCAATCATAGTTTGAACACCAACAGTAACCATGCTGCAGGCCTTCAAATTCATCGATCTGTGGGATTGTCTTAACATGAAAAACACGTTCTTCCGATTCGCCGTATCCATATATTCCCAGGGCACACTATATACAGCATCTATTAATCTATCATTCTGCAATTTGAAGTCATTATTATTAAGTTATATATACTTACAGCTAATTTTGTATTTCGAATGGGTCATTTTTGCTTTAAGATTGTGAAAATTCAAATTTAAAAAGGGTCAAAAGCATTTTTTACTTTTTGTTGAAATTGTTGTTGGGCCCTTTACTCTTTTAATTATATTGGTCAATATAAAGCATAACCCATTACTGTAACTAATGATTAATCAAAGCGTAAGCGAATGTAATGATTCGAATAAGATGGCGCATATTCCAAATAACACGGACCGCATATTTATTCCAGCATAAACCTAACATGACAACTCCAGGAAGTTGTTTTTGTATCTCTTAGGTACTTGTCCGAGATATATTTGAATATGTCATTGTGGCCCGGAGGTTGAGGCATCCGCTTCTCATGCTTGAGGGTGCGGGTTTGAGTCCTGACAAGTACCAATGTGACTTTTCTGAGCCATATGTACATACTTTCTAAGTTTATTTAGATACCACTGACAAATGGTGAAGGAAAATATCGTGAGGAAACCTGGACTAATTTAAGTTTTAAATCGCCAATCCGCTTTGAGCAAGCGTGGTGAAGCGTGCTCAAACCTTCTCCGTGTGGGAAGAGGCCTTTGCTCAGCAGTGGTCACTTATAGGCTGATGATGATGATGATGATAATGACTTGTCCGAGGTTGGGGCTGCAAGCGCGGTAATGAAACCCAACCCAGGTCGGAGCAGGAAAGTAATGGGGTAAATCACTCTATAATGAATCTTCACATAGTTCACAAGAGACAGATTAACGAAGTATTCATAAAACATGCACTTATAATTCCTGTTATTATTTTTTTTTCACGGATACTACGCTAACAAAATACCAGAGTACTTTTTTTATAGGTACGTGGGACGATTGTTAACTAGAAATTAATTAATATTATAAACCACGAAAAGTTATGTAAGGAAATCCAATACTTACTGACGACCCGAGCAGCTCAAAGATAATGGACAGTTGAATCAACTGCTGAAAGATAATTATCGTTAGAGGTCCGTACCGCGCCAATGCCGCTGTGTCCTAGAACACATTATTAAAAATATCTACTAATTAAAAAAAACATTATGAATTTTTTTTATAAGTCTTTTAATAACAGTCTGCCTCCAATTGTTCTACGGCTACGCTTTTTCTACGCCGCGCCTACGCCGCGTAGGAGTAGCGTAGACGTCATGTAGCAATTCGTAGGCGCCCTATTCGCGATCAGCTACGTCATTGTAACATAACAAAATCTAATGTAGCCATCTAATTCTTATGTTAACCGTTTTATAGTTATTTAAAAGAACATATGTAATTATTAAAACAATTTGTTTATACAAATTTGAGTATTTCTGAACTTACCAGCTGAGAGCATTCCAATAACAAGAGACATCCGCTCACTTGGTGGAAGAATAAATACACCAAGAGTGTCCATCCGAAACTGTCGGCCATCATTGATGAGAAGCTGCAAATTATTAGGAATATTAAACAAAACATAACACAGATTATTTCTTGAAACAGTAATTTAGAAGCGTATCAACAACACACTTGTATCTTCACAAAATTCCTGAGAGAATAATCAAAAATATATGTCCAATTTGCATATAGTATATTGTATCTGTAGATACTAACTTGATAACAAGACTGTGAATTTTTATACAGTCCCGCAAACGAAGAAATACTTCCACCGATTCCTCTTCATTGTACTTGTTCTCACAATTTTTATAAGCATTAGGATCGTCAGCAGCAGCCATCACTGACGCAGGCTTCGGAAAATGCTCAAGATTGTAAGTCAAGACGCGCATATGACCCCAGAGATGAAAAACCATTATGAATATTGTCAGATCAATAATACAAAAGTATGTAGAGCAGGTTATACTGATGTACCAATTGTACAGAGAAACAACAACATAGCCTTTGAAATTGGTCGCGGTATCGAACGGCAGGGCGAAATACACAGCGTGATCGAAAGTGGCGTTTGGAGGCCGTTCGTCTTTAAACATGCCTGCTGCATAGCTGTTGTATATAGGAGTCAGGTTGAAGAGCAATATGCCGCAACACATCAACATAAACACGTACATCGTGAAGAAATGAGATATTTTGTGGACCAATATATGAGTCTGTAATGTAGAATACATATTGTTATTAATAGCAATTAGCAAAGCAAATATTATAAAGCTTTGTCTTTGATATGCATACTTGCCTCGTAAGCGTATTTAGATTTACGTCTGAAATTGAAAAGATGCACTTCTTTCAAAAAATAGAAAATTATTTCGTTGTATCGTTTGGTCAGTACTAGCACCGTTCTTAACTGTGAAAACAACAATGATTTATCTGTAAGTGTTGATTGAGTTCTTCATAAAATTTAATAAATACATATCAGGATAAAGTTTCTCTCTTCTATTCTTCTATTACATTGTAATACTCACAGCGGCTATAGCATTCATAAAGACGGTGATATAAGTGTGACCCAACTCGAAAGACGGTATTTTACCAGTGTTAATTTTTAGGTAAAGTGTACCCGGTATCAAGGAAACCATATCCAAAATGCAGATGTAATATCTAAAGAATTGAGACTTATTTGCTTCTTTAGGCCACCCGTCTATGACCCACATGATCTTTTTAAGAATTCTAAGGTATACAATGTCTTCCACATTCTCGATTCCCCTGAAAAAGATATTGTTTATTGTCCCAAATTAAATCACTTGTGCTTGCACTTGGGATTTTGTTTATTGTCCCAAATTAAATCACTTGTGCTATAATGAATTGCTAAAGACACAGTTCACATAATCACCAAGTAGGCACCTATAAGATTAGATACTTTTTCCGTAATGCTGGTGCCAATAGACAGAGACATAAAAACATACCAACATGAATAACTTAGAGACATGAATAATAACAACTGAACGGTTTTTCAGAGAAGAAGAGTTCAGCTTTTAATTGCCGATGTAAAAGCTAAGGCTAATCCTCTGCAGCTAACGTCAGTCATCGTTTTCCAATATGGCGTTCAATATGTAAATGTTTGAGTATTATGATATTGGTAGAACTATTATGTTTATTTAACTTTGTTATGAAGAACAAACAGCCGTATATTCAATGACCCATAATGGAATTATTTTACCAAGATAATAGAATTTAAAAAACACTACTAAAGACTGACATGATTTGCCATGTGAGTGTGGTTACCGGAAGCCCTAATCCCTAATCCCCAAAAGGTCGGCAACGCACTTGAAATTCCTCCGTTGTCGTGGCGCGATTGCTTTCCATCAAGTAATCCGTTTTAAAAATATGACATTATCCACGAGTTACTAAACATATCCATAACAATTACAAAAGGGCAAAGTAAAGAGGAATCTCACGAACAAAAAAAATCTTATAACTTAATTAAAGCAACTCACTCCAGATCGCTACCATCCGAAAAGATTTTCACTGTTGATAATTTTAAGTCCATTTTGAGAAACTTTTTGCTCATCATTATAGCGCTTAGTGAAACATATATCCTTTTTATACTCTGTTTACCATTCATAATTCATATTGGCATAATAATTTCACGGTCATTCTGTGATGGGTACATTAAACTGTCATCAATGTTCTAGGGTTCCGCAAGACAGTGTTGGACTGGTTATTAGTTTTTATAGTGTTTTGTTGTGTAGTGTTTTGACTGCACGCAGTGGACACGAAACAACACTGTGTGATCCACAAATTGTTGTTTCTGGTCTGTGTGGTTGGTGTATGTGAGTTATTGTATGTTTGTAAACACACCCACGAGACAGGAGAAAATCTTAGTGTGGGGCAACGTTTTTTAATAGAAAAAGTGTTTGCATAATTTGGCATAAACTATTTTTAATAGGAAAATTGCTGCTCTCGCCCTCGATGGCTAACTTTCTCCTGCTCTAATCTGAGCCGCAGTAAAACAAAATGCGTTTGCACTTTTTTTTGAAAGAGTAAAGTTATCAAATGTTCTCTTCTCCTGCTCCCGGCCGAGACGCATTATCATGGTACTCCATCACCACTCCTGAAATCATTTTATGACTTTTCCCGCCTTTTGTGAGACGAGAGGGAGCACGAGAGGGAGTGTCAGAAACTTACCGAGTATAGGTAATAAACTCTCCTGCTCAAGTCCTACGTGAGTCTAGTTGCGGGTCATCTAAGCCCTTAAATCTTTAACCAAGTCTATTGCAATATACTACGTTTAATTTACATAGGTAGTAAACTTTCAAAAGACGGATAGGTATTGATAAATAAATTAAATGCTTGGGATTGCATCCTGCAACAAGCCTGGATTTTTGTCGCGGAATTAAAACTATATATTTTCCCTAACATTTAATGTCATGGATTTCCGCAAAGTAACGCCTGATTCTAGAAATTATCTTAGGTATTGATAAGTTTTATACTTGAATGTTTTCCTAATTTATTGACGTTTTGCGTGTACTAGTCATGACTAGGAAGAAAAGATCTAAGTATCAGCAATCCATCAACAAGATCTACTTATTTTATTGTTTGCCCAAAACCTATTAAAATTATAATGACTTTTCAAGTAGGTAACCTACAATTAAGTTCCTACAACTTTCGATGGTATCACTGACCGTTAGACCAATCTCTTGACTAAAGGATTGCCAATTATTAATTGCATGTCTATAGGCGAACCAAAGGGCTCCTTGTAAAGTGGAGAAAAAAGCCGTTTGTCAGATTGAGACAATTTAATACATAAATAGTTAGATAATCAGAGTAATAACGACTATTGATTGGTCTATTCATTCAGTTGAATAGATCTCTGTACCATATCTTCCACGTAGGAAGACAATACAAGTTGTTTATAGAATCTTTATCCTAATTTAGGTAGGATTAACGACATAATTCACGTTAAAAAGTTTTTGACAACGAGATTAGTACCTAGACAAATATTTTGGTTTCGTGTTCCCCCAATAAAAGATACAATTAACTCAGATATAATTGTTACGTGCTAATTATTAACTACTTTTAATAAATAAAATAAAACGTAACATTTTATGAGCATGCTATGTTTTATTGGCATTCCCCTTTTATTTCAAGTCGGTAGGAAATTAGTGACAATTTTATCTGCCCATTTTCATGTCACAACAAATATCTCAATGTCAATAATAACATGCTTTTATTAAATCAAATTCAATAATTATTAGTGTCCAACGCTAATTCACTGGAATTATTATGAGAAAGTGCACGTGTATGAAAATTCCATCAAGAAAAAAAAATTATAGGTATGAATTATCACGAATTGAAGTTCTCTATGATTGCAAATAGAAATTATATGAATCCAAATAAATATGTTCTATTTAAAAAAACATGAACAATAATAATATAACGGATGTTTTTAGTTTAGAAATATTTTTTATTTAAAATGAAATGGTTTAGGTATTTGTAGCATATCATTAGTGTTTAAGACCTACCTACAAAGTCGGTAACCAATAGCAGCTTATCCCTAAAAGTAGAGTGAGTTCTGTGAATTGTATTAAAGTAAGTTGCTTCTGTAGTTAATATTAAAATTGTTTTAGAAAATCAATAAACATAGAAAAAATAGGAGTTTCAATATTAATACAGACAGAGACACTTAGCTCCATCTGGCAGTACAAAAAGAAAGTAAATTGACAGCGATAAATCACATCTGTCATGTAATAAGGTGTTTTAATTTTTATAAGTAGAAGTTGAATTATGAATACTTTTTAGAATAAATAATAGATGTTTTTAAACTAGATCAATTATATAGAATCAATTTATTTTTAGTACTTTTAGCAACTTGCACGTAGCGCCATCTACTTACGTTGCTTGTCACTAATGAAAGAATGCATTCCCTATTTAAAGATGTAACAGATCCGATACGATTGATAGATGGCGTTGTTTAAAATCTGTTGTATGATTTTTTAATGTAAATACCAACCTATGAAACCAATCTTTAGATGTAGGTTGACTTAAAGGTAGGTTAAATTGACAGCATTTTTTATAATTATGTATTAATCGGTGCTTCCGGCACCCGACTTCGAGTGGATACGGATTTGAAGCTTTTCAAGTAGCAATGTAACTTTTCCAATACATATACCTACCTAAAGATACTTTATTTAAGATATTTTAGACACCACTGACATGACGCGCGGTGAAGGAAAACAACATCAGAAAACCTAAAATCACAAATGTACAATTATTCTGACTTGAGCAAGCTCGTACCTTTACCGTGTGAAAATTGGACATTGCTCAGAGGTGGGCATTTGTAGGCTTATAACGATGTACTTAATGAATATTCCCCCAAGATATGTTTCAAAAATACAAATCGCTAAACTGCCTTACTACAATTAATAAGAGAAGGTAAGTAGGTATGAAAAGGTATCCTTATAATTGGTAGGTACAGAATAAGGGAAATAGAGACCTATTTATAGACCAGCAGTGAACTTCCACGCGTTGTTATGATATTTTTTAAGTAAATTATGTCGGCAAACGAGCCGTCTGATTACCTGATGGTAAGCAAAACCCGCCGCCCAAGAACACCGCAACACTACAAGACTGTGATAAGAGTTACGAGCGCGTTGTTGACAGGGATTAGGGTTCTGGGGGGTAAAAATGGAATCGCAACACCAGAGGAGTTGCCCTAGCAGTTATGTAGGTATAGGTTATCGGAGGTTTAGGATTTAGGGGAAGGAATAGGGGGAGGGGAAGGATTGGATTGGCCTCCGATAACCTCACTCACACAACAAAACATAACGCTGTTGTTGTTTCACGCCGGTTTTCTGTAAGGCCGTGGTATCACTCCGGTCAAGCCGACCCTTTCGTGCCGAAGTTTGGCTCCTTGTCACTTGAACCACTTCAACCTGAATACGTAATATGAATTTTATTTAGCGACTAGCTACTCTATCGCGGTTTCATCGACTCCATTTGATCCTAGCGTGATGTTTTATAGCCTATAGAGCACTCAGGAACATTGTAGCTACGAGTATCTATCAGTGAAAGAATTTTGGCAATCCGACCAGCGGTTCTACAGATTACCCCCTACATACAAACTTACAAACATACAAACCTTATTTTACCTCTTTATAATATTAGTATAGATATAGCACATTCTGTATTTAACATAGTTTTGCATCGCCGTTATCCTATGTTTAGGTACCTATAAGGGATAGTGTAGTTTTCCAGCAGTCAAACTCAGGGTTTATTAAAAACCTGTAATCTATCCACACCGATCGTGTGATGACTTGATGTCGTGTGATGTTCATCTGATCTCCTTGGTGAAACAATTCTTACTGATTTCGCTACTCCAATGTAAATAAATACCTAGTACGAGTAGGTACAACTTTGAGTATAATTTAAAAATTTTTGATGTCTCAAATATTTATCCTCTGCACACGCTCATAAAACCTTTTTTAACCTTTTTAAGTTCGCATACAAAACCTTTTTTATTGAATATCCGTTTGAGAATAAACTAGAGCAGTACCTGATAATTAACTCCTAATTTTAATTTGAGCAAGATTTAATTTGATAGATACGTAGGTAACTAAGTAAGGAGCAAAAAACAAGAGCCACCTATCAAGTTTTGAAGCAGATACAAAGTGATATGTTTAATAACTTACTTAACTCAATCATTACCAATTAAGTGCTAACAGCCAATTAGTTTGTCCGTGATTTAAAAATGATCAAAGAAGCAGGTTTAGCGCATCGTTATTCCCGTAGTGGCAAACGGAACGAATAAGCTAAGCGGTGGGCGGGGAGGGCGCGGGCGCCGGCGGACGGTGCGCGGCGCGGTACGTGCGCGCACTGCGCTTTTTGCTTGTGGTAGGGCGACCGCGGTGCGGCGGCGGCGGCGGAGGCGCACCGGGATCTTATCCTTATTGTATTTTATTCTGTTCTTAGCTCTCTGTCCCGACGAACGTCCCACTACATCCCTATTGTAAAACTCAACGTTTTATTGTAACAAAGCCAGTTTATTATAAACTAACGTATTATGCCAATATGTTAGTAAAAACTCAGTCATTCTTTGCCCGGTCTTCAGACGGTCTGTTTTGTTGTGTGAACGAGTGTTACAAATAAAATAATAATAACGGCGAATACAGATTTTTAAGAAAATTGCTTTATCAACTGACATTATGAATGTAAATGATTTAGTGACCCGTTTATTTTTTCTCACCATTATTTATATTGTCGGAGCTGCACCTGATGATAAGGTAAATATTATTTATGTTTTGTTGATGTTTTTGTATTATTACTAAACTCGTGTGACTTAGCCTCGCGCCACTATCTCACTTTAACGACACCTTTGACTTAGTAAAGCTCTGATTAGTTAGCTTTATATTGAGGGGCTAACAAATCTATGGAGTCAACCATAAATTATTAACTATTTATTAATTTTATTTGGTTTGTTGGTCTAATATTGAAAGCAGGAAGTGGCTTCGATATTGGTAAATAAGTTCATGCGTGTAACTGAGTTACTAGACGGGTACTTTAGTTACTTCCTGCATCTATCAGATCGATGTGACAAGTGACAGACTACAGAATAGGAGTTATCTAGCAACTTGTTTGTTGGATGCTCGACCTGCGAACAAATTTTCTCGGCTGTATTCGTAATACTAAAATACTATCCATACCTATCTACTACAAATTATTTCATTTGTCCGATGTAAATATACGCAGGTGTAAAATAAAATAAAATGTGGAATATTTTAAATTGCTGCTAATGATATAATAGATATGTACGTTAACATAATTATAAATGAAATTGTTATGTCAGTGGGGAGAAGATAAATGAAGGGCTATTTGTGCTCAGGTGGTAATTTGCATTACTAGATCTGTAACTGACTTGTGATTTTATGGTTATCCCACTCTTCGGAATAAATACTGATTGTAACTACTGAAATTTCCCAACATGATTGTTATTTTAAATGTTTAATGTATTTAGTTTTAAATTAAAGTCGCTTAACGACCGAACTTGATAACCTATCTTCAATTATAATCTACGAATCGGTCTAGGTATTGACGTTATAGGTACTCGTACTAAGGCCAAAAATTAAGTCATCATTTTTGTTCTTATGCGTAAATATATTGAGGAAAACATTACCCAATATTTATTTATTTATATTTGCCATGTATCAAATATCGTTATCTGATTCTAAATAGCCTTTAACAGTTCTCAAATTCTATATTTAAAATTTAAATTGTCTATTTATACTTACCAAAGTTCTGCTCTTCTAAGTTGCTGTGTTTATTTACATAGATAACACAGATTATGTTGTTTTAATTCAATCTTTGTCAAAATCTAATCTCTATATAGATAATTAATAGGTTTGATCTGTGGTGCTTACAGAAATACAGATAACCTTTATTATATTTCATGTGTATTATTTTCATTTTTATAGAGATATCCTAATCCTAAATAAATATACCTTTTTGATATCTTATGTATCTTTTTATTATAAATACATTTTAGTTGCGATGTTTTAATAGAAGTTATCTTAGGTAAATCGAAGGTTCTTCGACCTTTATTATTTTACGGAACTGAGAGAAAACATCGTTTACTTAATACTTAGGAACCGAACTGTTACTTACTACAAAAGACAGTAGCCAGATTTGCCTATAGACCTCTGACCCTACACGTTCGTGAATGTATTCGGTTAAAGTTAAAAAAGTAGCAATATTTTTTAAAATTCTACAACAAGCCATTATGGTTTTCGTTTTTAGAGATACTTACCTACAGTTAAAGCAACAAAAATATTAGTCGACGGGCGTACTCTAGAAAATCTTTTAACGTAATTAATTAAATTAACGATCTGAGATCAGACTTATTTGTGACTACAGAAAATCATTGAAAGTGCAAACAATAAAAATATGCTATAAAAATATCATATTGACTTCAATAGACAACAAAACTTATTTTTAAATATATTAAAATTCATGACACATGTACGTGTAAAACCAAGACCTCATTATCTGCATTGGAAAAATTGGAACCCTAGTCGTAGATGCCGTAATTAACAAAAATGGCTGACTGCGGCCGAAAAACGTGAACGTTAGACACACTATTAAGGTGATAAGTACAAGGTATAATTACGCGATAAAAGTACAGTAAACACCAGAAAACAGGGAGCGCAATTTAATCCCGGAATACAACCATCGTCCATCATCATCCAAAAATTCTAACTGGACTTTTTTCTATTCCTAATCAACAGAATTTTATGGTTCTTAATGGCATGGGAGGAACGGTAGCAGATGTAGTGAGGCTGCCTCTACTAATATCCAGTTTAGAAAAATGATAAGAGTCAACCTTCTGCGCTTAATAACGATCTGCGAACTAGAACATTGAAGAACAAATAAAATTAATTAAAAATGTATCAAAACGCGATAAATTATGACAATAGTCACGATCTTAATAATTAATGAGATCCTATCCAACCGATATGAACATCTGTGATATCGGAACCAGTCAATTTAATATTTAATTTGGTTTTTGTACCTGCCCGACTTTCGACCTTGGTCTTGCATCTATCCTGCAGGTGTGTGTATATCCGTTGCGCATACACATAATATTTTCAAATGTTGATCCAGCTGCATTTGATTATATTGATTAGATTAGATAGGTAGCTTTGTTAGAATATATTAGTAAGCATCTGTATTCTATATCGTACCGATGGCCTATTGGTAGTCAAATCACAGTTACTTTATTGTATTTCAAAATTTCTCTACGGAATATAAATGTTTCCCATAATTGATGAAAGTGGGTGCAGCTATAGGCCAATAGTTCATGACTTATTAAACATCGGATACTAAATAGCACATCATTTGTTTGCGAACATTGACATTAGCATTGAGAGCGTCTATTGCCTCTAGCTACAGTCCTCGCTTGCCATATAAGTGGAAACTGAATTTCAATTAGCATTTATGTTACGAGTTCATGTACAATCATAATAGAATATTCGTGTTATAAGTGTTTCCAAGTACAACACAGTTCTATTGTTCAAATGATTCAAGGAATAAAGTGGAATGAGAAACCGAAGCGTATTTTATACATGCATTTAGGCGTAACACCCAAGCGATTTTAATCAACTCAGTAACCTGATCTAACTTGGATCGGTCTCACCAAACATTTGCCTTTTGAAATACAAACCTTTCTAAAGGAAACATAAAAGTATGGGACAGTTAGTAGAACCTACCTTTAATAAAACTAAACATGCCCTGAATGATAAAATTTTACGAATATTGTCGATTCGATGTGTAGGCATGTCCATCAGGAGGAATTTGATAAACAAGTCAATGAATGAGTTTCAGAATTATAGTGACAATTAACTAATCGCCACATGTTTCTTGCCAGAGCTCCGCATCTAGCCCTGTGAACAACGAGGCGTGCAAGGCGCGCGCGGCGGCGTGTGAGGCGAACGCAGCTCACGCTCGACGTCCTGTCTGCGGCACTGATGGACGCACATATCCTTCACGATGTCATCTCATGATAGCCCAATGCAACGGCCCACCTGTCACAATCGCAAGAAAGGGGCCCTGCGTCGGTAAGTGCCAACAACTTCCAACTACGACACAAAACCGAGACACTTAAGGCCTACTCCCAATATTCAGTAAACTATTCTTGACAACGACTCTCGTTGTTGAAGATAAGTGCTATACCTACTCACGTTATAAGCTTAGGAAATATTTATGTCCCCCATGAACACAGCTCTCATAAAAAGCGTCTTTGTTAGTCTTGACCTTGCCTTTGCTGTACAACTGCTCTTTATGAAGTCATGGAATGTTGTCAGTTTACACTTTTGCAGCGGCTGTGTTAGTCGATGGCAGATAAGCTATGGACTTGATGATTAGTCTATTTCCATTTGTGTTATAGTTAAAACGTATTGTATGTACACACATGGACCGACCAGACTAGCTGTTGGTAATTTTGTTTAAGTTGTTTTTGTCGGTCGCAGAGGGACAATCATCCTGCCTGATAGCGCAACGATATGCGCTCAATGCGCAGAGCGGGGTCTGGTCAGCATATGTTCCCCGCTGCCGTGCTGACGGCAGCTACGCCGCGGTGCAGTGCGCAAGCGCGGGCGCGGCCGGCGGTGGCTGCTGGTGTGTCACTCCTGACGGCAAACCGCTTCCCGACACTTCTGTCAGAAACGGCAGACCTGATTGCACAAGGACTGGTGAGTTACTCTACCACAACATGAAAATTGACTACATTATTTATGTTAACCAAAGCTGAGGCATTTAAAAGAACTATGGAATCTGCTAACCGGCTACTAATTCTCATATCTCTCCTATAGTGTTGCTAAGCGAATTAATTTTCCTTCTCTTGCCTGGCTGCTCATAAAACAATTCTTCAAACTATAAAATCTAAATGAAATTCGATTTCCGGACCTATAACTTTGCATTTAGTTCATAATCTGCTTGTGTTGTACAGGAATATGCTGGTTTCCATCCACCTACGCTAAGCTAAGCGAATTCTATTTAATACCCAATTCATTTTAATAGTTGAATATATAAACGTGCATACGACATTGCCAACGACATCAGACGTGAATGTATCCTATAAAAGCTATTCAATTTAAAAGCCCCTCTACAATAACATATAATTTAAATAAAACAATTTGTAACCTCCTCTTATTAGGTAACTAGTGTGATTGAAACAATGGTAGGACGTAAGCTACTTATAAATCTTACTGAACATTGTAGTAGGCGAACGAAACTGTGACGGTGCACTTACAATGATTTATAAGTTTCAAAGCGTTCATTTGTAGCTAATAGGTTGAAAACGCGTTATAGGTGATGTACTGTGAGAGATCTCCTGTACCCGGATTCGAGACATCTGTTTTATCTAACGCGCCATTGTAAATACCTTTGGATACTCTTCAGACATCGTTTGTAAACAATTATCCAGATGAAAGCCAATGTTTATTATACACTAGAGCGCCTTTTCGATGTACCGATAGATAGGTTTCACGTAGATAATATTATCTTAAGCAATTTTCACAGAAACATTCCAAATTCGTTAGAGAATGCTGATAAACACATCACTCTTACGCGTTATAAACATAGTGCTGATTCACATAAAAATATACATAGCTTAGGCCGTTAAACTAATTAACCATAGGTTAGTGTACTTTTAACGTAAACAGACAACAACGCACGTACCTAGTCGCGGAGCTATCGCTGGCGGTAGAAGGTTAATGCTTTGAAAATACTCTTTTTGTTTAAAGAACTTATGGTTACCCGATGTAAAAAAAGTATCATTAAAATATTTACAATACAGTGTACCGAACCTAAATATTTAGACATTCAAACGTCAATCGTACAGAATGTTAATCCAGAATAAAATAATGCAATACATTTTGACATACAAATTGCATCGCGTGCGTGCAGACGTCGCGGCTGCCCCACGTCTGACGTTGCGTTTATGCATAAGAGACCCATCAAACTTGTTTGCAATTTATCAATGTACAACTAAAATGCACGAATATCGCTCCTCAGTAGTCCAAGTGCGGGACAGGAGACGTGACGAGTAAATCACTACAGGAACCGATAACACGTACTCGTTCGGTAAACGATCCATTACAATAGTCGGCACATTAACATGTAGGTACATCACATTCTTATATTCCTTCACTTTACAATGCATAAAATATAATTATAGTGTGTTTCTGTCTCTTTAAAGTATATAAATTCTGGTATTTCTGATCTAGAGACAAGCAGCAACCTCGTAAGACATATTGAGTGATAAATAATGTGAGTATATTTCGCGTATGTCTTGCACGTCCTTATAAATATTTATGTACATTTGTAAGTATTTTGTGATTAGAATGCAATAACATTTGGCGCCATATAATCAGTATTACGCATACATGTATCCATTGGGCTTTCGTTATGAATATATTTTAAATATTTTACCGCCGTCCCACTGGTAACTGGTAGCGATTCTTTTTAATTATTGATTTATCTGTGGTTCAGTCTAAATATTTTTACGTTCAGGCGCCAGTGAAATAGTGGATGTTTCATGTAAGAATTCTTTCAAGATGACTCATATTTATAACTCTTTTATATTATACTTCATAAAGACCAAACCTACAGGTGTTTTATTTAAAACTTGAAACATGTTGAAGTTTAAGGTGCCCGCACTGATTTATCATGTCTGTCTGACTGATTAATCATAATATTATTAGACATATAAAATAAAACTTTTTTTAATCCACACTTCTTGGTTGGTTGTCGATGTTGTTACCTAGTTTCATTTAACTCAAGTCAAGCCTCTGGTTATTTTAATTTTATTTTAAAGACATTTAAATATATTTTAGTAATTTACCATTGAATTTCCTGCTGTCAATCCGACATAGTTTAAGCGTATTTTGATTTTACATTTTATAACAATAGCAATGAACAAAAAGGAAGTAAGAATTAATACGACTATTACAACTTTATGAAATAAGAAAACTTAAATCGCTAATTGCAGCGTCAAATTGATTAGGGTTTATGAGGTATAAATGTAAGCACGACCTAAAGTTTAGTAGATAATTTAGTTCTCTGTCACGGACATTGTCTCAGTTGTTCAAATTCATTTTAAACTGTGTGTTATTGAGCACAGAACTATTTAATACCCTTCAGACAAAGGGTCATCCTACGCAGGGCATCGCCCGCTATTCGGCTAACAGCCTGCTTCCTTATACAAGTACATGCACCTTCTGTTATCTTCAACAAGTTGATCCGCATCTGATCCCGAGCCAGTGAAACTCTAGGAGAGAGTGAATGTCTAACCAAGAGGTAAAGATTGTGGTATTCGGTACAAATCTTTTGTGGTTAATCAATACTTGGATGATATTTTGTTACCATGCTACTCAATTTCTATATCATGAACTTGTAATTAATACAACCGTGTCCGTCTACCTAAATTTAAGTTCTTAGAATTAAGCGAACAATTTTACATTGTTTAATGTACTGTAATTTCAATAATGAGTCAGCGAACTTTTGACTGTTTCAAGTCTTTTATCGTTTGAACAATACATTACAGACATTGGTTTCGACGGATTGATTAGTACATCCCGCGTGTTTATTTTTGTACTCAAAGAAACGTGGTCGGAAAACAATGCATGCTACGTCTAAGTTTAAGAAAGTGGACTCAGTACTTTTGTTTTCCATTAGTGTTCCACTAACTATAAAGATTCTCGGAAGGATTCATTTTCACAATATATGCGTAAATATTGACGCGATTCCGAAACATATTCCTTGAACTACATAACTACTCATGGATACGGGATGAACACTATTCTTCACACGCCGGAAATGGTGGATTCCATATCGTTATATCTCAGAATGCCTAAGTAGATGCATGTGTTTTTCTTATAAAATGAGTCAGGCCCTGAATTTATTTAAAAGAACTAACTTGGAACAATTTTTGTTGCAAAAATAAACTCAGGTAAAAAAGTTAGCGTGAGTCAATAACTTCAGGCTGCGTTGACTTGATTTTGCACTTAATTCTATCGAGGAATGCGGATTGATGATAAAAAACTGCCGTGTATCCAAATATTAAAAACTACATCATATAAACGATTTATGCGAGACTTTTTTGTAGATATTCGCGTTACAATTCTTGTAATAAATTCGGCTTGACCGTTTATTTAATAGATAACTTGTTCTTACAGAACTACAGAAAGTCTCTTCTAACGAAATATAATTTATTTATTTTATAATGCATTGTTACAATACAATTTGTATTCAAAAAGAAATTATATTTAGCGTATCATTTTTAGGTTTGAACGCTGTCTATTTTCAAGATCGAGACTCATTTTTACAAGAACTTCCAAACTAATATTATAAATGCAAAAGTAACTCTTTCTGTCTGTCTGTCTTTTCTTCACGCCTAAACTACTGAACCTATCTGTGTGAAATTTGGTACAGACATAGTTTGGAACACGACAAAGAACATAGGATAGTTTTTAAACCTAAAATCTGCAGGAAATCACTATTCCACGCGAACAAAGTTGCGGGCAAAAGCTACTACATTATAAAGTAAACATTTAATGAATTATCCATAAGCAGACAAACTTTCTGTATCCACTGCACAAAATAAGCCGTAAGGAATGATTCGGATAGATATAATATTACAAGATCCCGATTCAATTTCCCTAACTAAAAAGCACTTAGCATTCTGGTTAGGTGCGCCCGTATTGCGCCTCGCATCCGCTTTAACTTATTTGTATGAAACCTGACTGTTAGTGCTAATATGAAATGGCGTCGTAAACGCGAAAACTTCTTAGAAATATGTACCTTATACGACTTGATTATAGTTTTAATCTCGAGTGTCATCTGATTACTTTAAATAAATTGGAGCCTAGTTTGGGAAATTTGATTACTCACAGACACTCGGTAGGCAATATGAACAGAGGCGGGCGAGAAAGAGGGATGGCGCTATAAAAGGTGTATAACTCCATCCCTCTTCCTCGCCCGGAAGATTCACGCTTTAACATGTCCCTTCAGTTCCCAATATTACCTATTTCACACAAACTCACTTCGTTCCCTTTTTTTCACGGAAAATTATCTGTTCAAATTGTTAGTACCTACGTATACTTACCTACACAAATACAATATACTATTTGTAAATGCTATTATAGAACATCATACAGGTTTACAATCTTATTAACAAAATACTAAAAAACTAGTAAAATACTCATATTCCGTTTCTACATTACTTCCATTCAAGTATTGTATGAATAATATTTTTTAATTCCCTATCAATTCACATATAGGTAAGTAATCCTATTTAGTTATTAAGTAATTATACCAAATTTATATTAAGAGATTAAAAAAATAAGTTTAGTTGTTCAAAATAAATTCTAAGCTAATAATATTATAAGTAAGTATCTCTAATATTAATCGCATCCTTTGACGATTTCAAAAAAGTTCGTAAGAAACATTGTCAACGTGATATTTTGAAAAAAAAATCCTAGTATGTACTTTCTAATATAACCAGCACGTGTCGCTTTATTAATGTAAGTTGACGCATTTATTAAGTTGACACCTAATGTAAGCACATCTTGTAACAAATGCACTCTAACTTAACATCTGACTTTTACGTGTGCTAAATGTCACAAGCCAAGCGCGTTATTCTCCGTGAACGGGCTTAGTGACTCAACTCACTTTCGATATCATACAGAGAGAGTATTCATCAACGTCCGTACTTTAATGCTCTCATCTCATTCAATAATTAAACGTGCCTGTTAACTCTTCTGATCTAGAGTACAAGGTTTAATTTAAGCCAGTAATATCTCCCGTCTATAAATTAAAACAACGCTTAATTTATGAGTTACCACACGTAACTCGATGACTAAGTGAGAAATTATCAGTAACGGCTGGGTATTGACTAAATGAAGTTTGCCCCTCGCTTCTGTTAATGGTCTACGAGTATACTAGGTGATACCGTGGTCGTTCTTGTCCTATGTAAAAAAAGGCTTGTGTCTATCTTAGGTTTTTTTGTGCAGACATTAAGAAAAATTAATGAAAAAGTTGTATTGTTCACGTTTATTAGCACTTTTAGCTACGGACAAAAGGACTTTCTCGGCAAATAGTGTAATAAAAGTATGAATTGCTTTGCCCGCATCAATTTACTTCGTTTTACAAGTCGACCAATAATAATAATAGTCGCAGCCATTAAGCGGTGGCGCCTGCACTGCCAATTAACCATTTACTGCCACTCATGTTGACCCGGTTGCGCGGATTCTATCTAATTAACAACATTTCATAATCACGAATTGATGATTGCGCATCTCATCAGCTCAGACTGTACGCAGACTCCAATGTCCCATTGTAACGGTTCATCTTAACGACTTGGGGCCGGATTGTGATGTGGTTTTCACCGTAACCTAGGCATATCTCAAAATATAGGTACGAATGTAAATTAGTTATTTCGAGACGACATTGTTGGACGAGTATCGGCTCCCATATTTTATAACTTGACTTTTTCATAATGTTTCGTACCGTGCTACAATAAAGCCGGCATTATTTCGTAAACACTACATTCGGTACGGAGACAGATCCTCGAGTATTTTTCTAAGAAACAGCGGTCCGTCTCAGACTGCTCGTCGCCGATCACAATGGGGTCCACTTTTTTTGTCATTCAAAGGTAAGGAGAACTCGTCTCGGGCATGAGACGATAGAAAAAAACATCCCAGTGATCATTTGAGAGCTTTGTTGAAGATCACACGGACCTTTGATGTTTTATATTTAACTATATAGCCTACCTGGCCACGATGATAAAGTCGTTAAGAAAGAGTTGAAAGAATAGACCGGTTTGCCTCTACTACAGTCTCAAACACATAAATTTTAATCGTTCGTAATAATACAAAATACATTGTGAATTACGTCGACGTGGGGATTTTTTGCACTAGATAACGCGGTGTCATTTTTGCATTTTCCTGCAACAACAGCTTAGTGAATGAAGCTTAAAACTTATTTTGATTATTAATAAATTAACTTAACGCATCTAAGGGCTACCTTACAGTAGTTAATCCCACAGCTACTGCCCATAAAAGTTAAAAAATGTGTTAACAGTCTGTTACATTTTGAAGATCCGAAATGGTACAATACTATTTGGGTCAGGCGCCGAAGTGTCTAACGAAATTCGATATCTGTTCACCTTTTTTTGTAGAAACCCTACGGTTGGGTCGGCCCGTTTTAAACTGCATTTCGAAACTCCACATTAATAGTGTGAAAGAGTAGTTATAAACGTTGTAAAATGTTTTATTGAATCAATTTGAATATCTCGACTTATAAATAGCTTAAACAAGGAAGAAACAACTTTCGCCTCTAATTATATATATATCTATACTGCTATTTCTATTCTCTTCTTCGTCGATTATTCATTAGATTTTAGAACAATACTTGGATCTTACCAAAGAACTACGAAAATCGTAGACCCTATTTTTTCGATCGGATTTAATGGTTTCCTTCGGGGTAAATCCTTAAAATTCCCACGTGAGTAGTAGTAGGTTAATCTTTTATTACAACGTCGTGCTCTAGTACATACATGTAATGTATTATTTCTATTAATATTTATAATATATGTAATATGCATGTGTACTTGTAGTTACCTATCCAGTAATTCTCCATTCGTAGCTCCACATATCGCGTCAATCCTTTATTGTGAAGGCGGAAGCCTTAAATCTATTTGTAAGCCATTCTGTATTGTCGGTAGGATATCGTTCTGTTGTCCAGTTAACCCGTCAGGGTCAAAACCACGCTGCTTACTAGCTACATACATATAAGAAAACTACGTAGGTACCCGTGTTTGTAACACGTAGTACGCAAGTACATATTTATTTAATTCTCTCCCCAACAATAATTATTACGTAGTTATACTTCTTGAATTGTTTTATTAGAGGTTACTGCGTGCGTAATAATTACCTATAATTAATAGCAACGGAGATAAGAAGTTACATGACAATATAAAAATAATTAAATAATAACAGCGTTGACATTAAAAACACAACAAAACTTGTTACGTTAGAAATAAAATATAGACTACGATTGCAGACCTAGAAGGCTAGGACTCCTAGTATTTATTGAGTTACATAAGTAAGTAGTAGGTAACAGAAAAGTTTGTTATTGATCGATATTATTATAATTACAGGTAAATGTAACTATAAAACAGTCGCCCATACAAGTTTAAAAGCTTTATCTAAACTCTTTGTACAAGCTACGTATCGGTCAAGAAATAAATATTATACATAATATATTCTGACGATTTATTTGCGCGTAAGTAGTACCTGTCTAAAGGAAAAAGAAGAACTATTTTTTAACGAAATGAACAGGATTCGGGATCCAATTGCACAGACAAAATTTTCAACTAGGTATAGTAGGTATTCTTTTTCTATTTATTATCTATTCTCATTACAGTTCTAGTAAATAAGTCAAACATTCAATGCCTCTGAAAACAATACGTAACATCATAATATAGTTTACACAATAATTATGTAAATCCTTAACGTTCACGCATCACAACATGTATAAACCCTACTATGACCGACTTAGTTAGAACAAAAAGATATTATCTACAATCAACTAGTTCATTACAAGATGTATGACGTTAATAATACATATTTATACTGAAAAATTTAAAAAAATATATAATAAAAACTAAAACATCTGAAAGACCATAAAAGACTTTTTGCGCACCAAATTATTATACATTAGGTGTTTAAAAAAATCTTGCTGTTTGTAGATGTGATCTCTAAGATCACATCACACATTACATCGTCAACCGATAAGCACAATTGCTGAGCAAAGAAATATTCTCACATGGAGAAGGTTTGAGTATTAAACACCAAGCCAGTGTTCGCGGCGGATTGGCGATTTCAAGATATTATAAGTGCAGGCTTCCTCACAATATTTTTCTTCGTGGTATGTCACCGTGGTTAATTCATCTTAGAAGTACATAGAATTCGGGAAATATCACACTCGCAGTTTTCAGTCTAGCGTACAGGTAACCTCCAGACCACCACGGCATTAAAGATACCTAAGCACAATAACACGTGCTTCGAATTTCAAATAAAACTTTTTAGTTACACAGACACATTTAATCTGGTTCAGTCAGTAGGAAGTCGAGGTGATTATAATATGTGAAATATAAATACCTATCCACGTTAGTTATACGATCTTCTAACTTAAGTGGTTGCATATTATTCCATATTTGAATGGTTTAAAGGAGAAAATATAATTTGTAAGCGTATCGTGAGTGCGGCAATAATTCCGGTCTCAATGCCTTCCAAATTGCGGTGTCTATGTTTTCTGCCATTTATTGCCCTATAGAAAAAAGGTGTTTGTTAAATGTAAGATTTTATAGCACATTGGATTGTAAGTTTACCGGTTATATGAATGTTTTAGTGATGCACTGCGATCCGCCGCTACCGGGACCGGTTCGGCTACGGCCGCCATCGCCACGCCATTGCCATCGCACTCACAACTAACCAATGCATAAAAATAAATAACCAACTACATACGATCGGTAACATTTTCTTATTCGTAGAAAAGTCACTTTTCGTAGACTTGTGTCTCATTAAGCTGGAGTTTTAATTAAGAACGCTAACAAATCATTGGCATCAATTTACTTCGGTAAAGTCATTTGAATAGCGACTGCAATTCAATATAAGTAATCATAGGAATACTTAATTGATCAAAATTGGCTAGTTATTGAATTAAATCGCCGCCATATAGGATTTTCCGTGGCAGGCAATTTATTATCAACATCCATTACTTCATTAAAATCGCAAAGCGACGTGTAATTGCCGCAGCGAATGTATTGAAATCCTAAAGCGAATTTAAACGAAGCCACACGTAAATCTAGTTATCAGCAAATATAAGTAATGGTGTTTGTCATTACGCCAATTGCTTCCCGCTTGCAATGATATCTTCTTGAGAGTCGCAAGGCCTTTGACCTCTCGTGACTATAGGATCAAATCAATTGTACATTTCGCTATACCTATTGCAAGTATCACATATACAGATAACGTAGGAGTACCTAAATCGGTTTTTGGGGTACAAGTAGGGTGAATAGTGATTTTATTACTGATACCGCAACTTTCAGACTAAAGAAATATCTTCTTCAGGCGATAACACAGAATGTACCTTATTGGCTATTGGGTATAGGTACAGTTTGAGTAAACCCGTTTAGTGGAGCAGCCAGTTAGGAATACGATTATAACGATCCCTACATAAAATATTCAACGTCTGACCCACTGGCCGTCTTAATAATACCTACTTACAAGGGTTCTGCAGTTAGACCGATATCAATCTGTTTTTATTTTCAGGTAAATCACACACGAGGAGGCGGTCCTCGGTTCGCGGCCAACGCAATAAAAGAAGTAAGACTAAAGATTGATGTTAATAATTAAAGTCCAGTAAACACAGGACTCGTAAACCTGATGATGTCACATATTAATGAGATCAGATCCTTTATAATAGCTTTGTAGGTAAAGGACCGATCATTTTAAATTGCCGAGTAATATTTATTACGAACTTGTATAAATATTTAATGAACGAAACCTATTATTAAAATATTTCTGACGCACTTCCACCGTTAGACTATTTCCATATCTAAATATGGCAAACTAATCTCACGATTATCAACACTAAGACTTTTATTTTCGTTACTCTACAGCATGCACAAGAACCGACAGGGCCCAGTTCAATGGGAACCTCATCAAAATCTTCAGCGGGGAGTTCGAAAGGGCTCGAACTGATACTGGATCATCACCAGAACCGAGAGTAGTAGCTGACTGGAAATTCAGGGAGCTGGATCGGGACCGCAGCGATGCTTTGCAAAAGTCCGAATACAGAGGGCTTAGGAGACTTATCAAAAAGGTACGTCATCTTCTGTCTACGGTCCAAAGTCGACTACATACTCAAACACTTATTTTGTCTGAAATTCTATGTGAACAGATGGTCAGATTTCCGGGAAGGATGTTTAGTCATTCAATTTTTACCGCACTGCCAACTGTTCAGACTTCAAAAGACTGGATTAACTTTCTTAATGTGTTTTAGAATCTGAAATAAACGCAAATTTTTAAATGCTGATAGATTTCTGGTGTTTACTTATCTCAAAGTAGGTATAGGACTATTATTATTTAGCTTTACAGTCACGGCGTTTATTTCTCCTTTTCAATACATAATAAGTAAGAACAATTATTTTGATTCTCACAATCAAAACAAGCCATCAAGTAAATAATGAGCTTGAATAAATCAAGATTATGCTCAAAGCACTTAATTCATCAAAGTGTGCGTGTAAATTATTAAATCGCATTTCATTACATGTCATTGGGTGCAGAAGTCGTGAACTATAACCCTGCTGTACGTGACTTTGAATGCAGCTTCCATGAATATTTGCAGATCTCAGATAGGTGCCAGTCAGGCTATTATTCAATTCTTTCGTATTGTACATATACCTACTTAAATAAGACGTAGAAAAGATAATTGAAATGCAGTTACATATTTTAAATTTTTACACAAAATATTCATTGCGTTACAAATGGTGATCGTCTCTCAGCAACCTATATTAAGAATCAAGATAGAACTTTTAGTACCAAATCAATTTTTGATTCGTTTGTAACCTCTAAAGCTGAATGAATAGTTGTAATATTAAACAAAATCAACTTCACAACCATTTAAATCAAATTTGTTAAGGTAGTACTTTAAATACTTATTGCCATGACTAAAACATTCAATAATATCTACCGTAATATCTAGAAATTGAAAGACCTTTGATACAGGTCTTACACACACGGCTTCTCGTATTTGACCCCAAAGTTCTGTTCCTAAATGTCGCAAGCGGGTGTTGTATAGATAAGCTATACCAATAATGGGACACAAGATTGTAAAGATAGTAATTCTCATAGTATATATCTATCTTACTTAACATTCTAAAGAGGTAATACTTATTTGGAACCACTGGTCATATTTCCAAAATTCTTTACTATTCTACTTTTATACGCGTGCGAAAAACGTAATAAGCAGCTGTGGCTTTAACAAAACTTACGGATGACGAAACATTAAATGACCAGAAGTTACCAATAAGTAATGAAAAATAGTAACAAAGGTTTCCAAATTCTTTACTGAGATCGACAAGCACTGCGTATTTCGATCCAGGATTACCTTTGCAATTGTAGTTTAGTTTACGATTGCCCTGCATCCGCTACTTGAGCCATGAACTACGGAGGGTCAGGCGAATCGTCCATGTCCGTGACGTCTGGCACACAACGATCCAATCTCTCGGCAGACTACCGCACTCCCGCTCACATACATGACCGTTGACTCACGCTAGAATGACGTATTATTTACAACATGTCTGCTAGATACTTTTCCACCGCAAATATTTTAAGGAATTACCTACCTACGTAGGTATTCTGCAAACCGTTTTCCGCACAAAGTTGTTTGGTTCTCCATGTCGATCTATGAGATTTTGTTTTTGCAAACGCTAAAAATTCTTTTCTATTTGTTCTCTTAAGTAAGGGCAATTCCTGATAATATCAAATAGTATATGTTATTTCCACCGGGACATTCTGTAAGCAACTTCATTTGTAATTAACCCGGCGATGAACTTCATAAAACAAACACAGAAAGGCTGACAAATATTGTAAAGGCTCTACAAAAAGAAGGTGTAATTTTATTCATCGATCGGTCGATTGGGATTGGATGGGGAGGGGGAGGGATTGGGCCTCTGGTAAACTCGCTCACACCGCAAAACACAACGCTGTGGTTGTTTCACGCCGGTTTTCTGTGAGGCCGTGGTATCACTCTGGCCGAGCAACCCATTCGTGCCGAAGCTAGGCTCTCCTACACTTGTATTTCGTTCTTTAAAATGTTACTGTAATATAACTTCTTTACTTACAGGTGGTGAAACCGAAGCGGTGCGCACGAGCATGGGCGCGTGGTTGCGACGGTGACGGAGACGGAGAGATAGCTCATGCCGAGTGGGTCGCGTGTTTGCTGGTCAACCCTGAGCCGCCTGCACCGGACTGTGAGTACCTTTATGACTATATTTTAATAGGAGATTACAAGAAAACAACGGCTACACGAAGATCTACGAAAGTAAGTTTTATTCAGGATTTGTTTCGTGGTCCATTCCCTTCTACTAGTTTGGTTAATTAACTCGTTTTAACATTAACAATATCTCGTCTGTATGACATCGTTTACGAATACGCAGGGTCTTGTGTACATTGCTCATTATGTTGTGTGAGCGATTACGTCTGCTGGACTGTAGGTACAGCCAACGCCATCGACGATTCCTTTAACTAGGCTTAAGGGTTACTTATATCAGCCGAGGCTGCCGGTTTCGGCCTCAAGCCCGACAAAGAATGGGGTTTTTTTAGTTAGTAAGAGTTTAACACTCTCGCCTTACCTTGGGAGGGAGAAGTCATCTGATGCTTTTCCCCTGACAAAGAAAACGTTTAGTTAGGTACATATCGACGATATTGTCGCTTGTCGCTTCGTGTTTGTCACTATCCGTAAAGTAAAACAATTTGATAAAGCTCTAACATGAAATACGAACAAATCAGAACACACCAGAAGAGTGTGACGCGGCATTTATTCAGTTCATTGGTAGGTAAGTGGTAACATATCGATGCTTCCGACAACAAAGGTCGTAAACACCAAAATAGCACTTTTGGTAATCAACGAAAAACAAAAAATAATTTCGTTTTTGGCTTATATCTTTTTAACTTTAAAAGTTGTAAAATTGTGTTCTATACAAGAAATACGTAAAATACGATGGTGTTTCATAATATATTATTGCTATTTATGTCAAAGCCTTATTTTAAAAGTTAGCTTGGACATACACCCCAGAAAATTCAAGAAGTTGGTATTTACGACCACTAACAAATCAATGGAGAACGATTTGTCTAACGGAAGTTAGAAGTATGCACCAGTTTTTAAATACAATAGTTCTGGGTTTGGTTTTAAAAACCATATACTGAAATAAAAATGAGTGTAAACACCACGATCTGATGCAATGGTATGTCACAAACATGGAAATATCTGAAGCGAAAGGCTATAGTCCTTTCGGCTTGCAGGTCCTAAAGGTATAAAAATATACAGTAAGTATATTATAGGCATCTTCCCGTATATAATTTAATCAAGCGTTTGTTACAAGATGCCTATAGTGTTCTACCTCCAACGACGTACCTAACCAGCCAGACATAATTCAAAATGTTAAGTAATCATTATGTTTCATGGATTTCAAGAAGATTTTATAATCACGACATTTTTTTAAAATGTATTGATAATGAATTACAAAAAAATATAAGTAAATATTCTACCAAGCTATTAAAATTATTAGAGCAGTATCTAATGCTCTAATAAATAAACAATGTCCATTTTCACCAACGCCCTTAAAAATTTAGGTAGTTCATCTTTCTAGATCTTGTTTGTTCGGAAAGCTTCTGTACTATGGTCTAAACCCAACTTTTAGTGTCGTTGGTGAAAAGGGAAAAGTGTTATCGACAAGATATTAAAAAAGTAGATGCAAAACATAATACGACGACGAGTTATAGAAAATCAGGTCTTCATATTTCTGATTAATAATCTTCTGTCATTGGATAGAAGATTATTAACCAGAAATTTGAAGACCTGATTTTCTGATAGAAGATAATTAATAAGAAATTTCATCTTCCTCGTCAGTCTCAGGAAGAGTATCAATGAAAATATGAGACTGACCCTATTAAAAAAATTAGGAGTACTACTACTTTTAAGTGTGGGAGAGCCATGCTTCGGCACGAATGGGTCGGCTCGACCGGAGTGATACCACGGCCTCACAGAAAACCGGCGTGAAATAACCACTGCGTTGTGTTTCGCCGTGTGAGGTTACCGGAGGCCCAATCCTTCCCCGCCCCCAATCCCTAAATCTCCAAATCCCTAATCCCTAAGAGGTCGGCAACGCACTCGTAACTCCTCCGTTGCGAGTGTCCATGGGCGGCGCTGATTGCTTACCATCAGGTAATCCGTTCGCTCGTTTGCCGACCTATTACATAAAAGAAAAACGACCTACATAATTCATTTTTCAAACAAATTCTCCAAGACCAAGTGACATTACGACAATTGTTTCTCAGCAGAGCTTACGTTTTAAAAATGATTGTGGGGTGTAATTACAATTAATTATGTATTCATGTTTGTACGACCGACAGCTGTTTGTAAGTTGTATTATACGACCTGCACGGTTATTCGGTTCTAAGCAATATGAGTTATACATACCCTCTTTTCAAAAAAATCTTGATTATACTAGTACAAATTTTGGGTGTAAAAGTATGTTTTTTTAGGCGAATATTTTTTTCACATTTTTAGATCGACGCAGCGCCAAAAATTAAGTAGGGCTGCATTCTTAACTCATTTTCGCCAAAATGGCGTTTACGACATTTGTTGCCGGAAGCATCGATATGCATTTTATTGCATCGGTACCGGGTTGCAGGTAAATACCAGAACGTATAAAAATCGTTAGGTATCTATCATTAAACGATTCGAAATTCTTATGTATCTATAACAATTAATCAAGTGCGACTTAGAAACAAAAGGATCATTCTAAACTCAATTAGATTTTTTTCTGCTACTAGCTTACGCAGCGAACCTCGTACTGACGTACTCAAAATGAACAAATTTGTAGGTATACGAACATACAAAATTATAGAACTGTTTGTATCGGAAATAAAACTGATAAGTTTTCTAGTATTCTTAATATTACTTCATGTTTCTGGTGTTTTCAACGTTCCTTAGACTCTCACGATTTAGCCAAATCAGTTTCGCTAAGTTTTAGCGAGAGTTACGAACAGTATAATTATTAGATATAGGCAATACATAGGTAAAGGTAGAAGATTAATAAATACCTGCTTCAGAGAGTATGTGATTGTCACCGATTTTTTTAAATGATACTGGTAATAAGTAACTCTTTTTGGAATTAAAAGAAAAAAAAACATTAAATTACTATTTATCTAATGAGTGAGTCGGAGTAACTACTCTTACCATGTACCTATAAAGCATATGTTAATGTAAAAGTATATGATATAATGTAGGAAAGTAACTTATTAAAGATGTCTCTCGGGTTTTCTATTGAAACATATTGATTGTGTTGTTTTCTGGATATTTTTCCTCCCACGCAATTCTATACAGTACTGCATCATATTTATTTATCCTTAAAATGTGCATCGTTAATGAAATACCTTATAACCTGTAGGTCTGTGTGTGGAGAGAAGATTTATCGTTTATTGTTGCGGCTAAGCTTAAATGAGAACAAAATGTTCGCCCGAGGCTGTAAATTAAGACTAAATAGGTTCTGAATGTTAAGCACAATAAAATAATCTGCGGACAGTTTATAGACTTTAACGGTTTAATGTTGTTGACTTTTTGTTTTACGGTTCGTGCTTGCATGGCGCCAGGTCAGCCAGGTTGTGAGCGTCTTTAAACTTTCTGGTTTTATGTTATACACAAGCGGTAGATGCGGTATTACTACTAGTTTTGCAAATTAGGATCGTGTGCCAATACGTAGGTATTTAACAAACGCTTTGCATGTTTCCAAATATTAATAATAATAATAAGACATTTCAATCGCACTGTAAATACTCATTAGATGTTCTCACTTCATTTAACTCTACCACATACCTAAGTAACTGACAATGTATAGTTGTTGCAAAATAACATTGCAAATGTGTGTGCAAACATAATAATAATATATAGTCTCTCTCCGTTTCTTCATGTCGTTGAATGCAGACGATGACAGCGGTCCGGAACCCGAGCCTGCTGATTACGAGGAGGAACCGCCACCAGACCCCAGCTCAGGTACTCCATTAACTACCGTCACTCACTCATCTCAAGTTACGGTGTTGTCTCTTCCAGATTTATTACTACTGTTCCCCTGCACGGGATGAAATAGTTGTTAGAACATGTTTATATCATATGAACAAAACGAAAATAAAAATTCACCTACTTATAAATCAGCCTAGTCCGTTTCACCCGTTTAAACACTGGAGCCTGTAGCCCACTTTTTGTTTTATTTTCGCAGTGTTACCTGGAATAGTGCGGAATTCTTTCGCGCCCGATGGATCAGAGTCTGAAGCGAGGCGAGAAGATGAAGCTAACGACTGCCTAACAGACAGACAAGCTGTCTTAGATGAGCAGGTTAGACATTTATATTTCTCTCCCCAGATCATTAAAAACTAACACAACTACGTAATGTATTACTTTTATGAAGATATCCCGCCATAAATTAATAATAATTTGAAATTATTTAGCTTTTTACTCAATAGTCATTAACCTAATCAGGAACATCATACGTGTAGATGGGATAATAAAATGATATAAAGTACTTAATAGTTTGCTTTACACACAGCACAGTACTATATTTATCGCTTCCCAGGCTATAACGTGGTGAACTTTTTAGTATCTATTAACACTAAACACAGCAATTTATTCAACCCATTATAAATTTAATCTTAATTTTATCTTGGCACCTAAAATAGAGTTGGGTTTTAATGGCACGTACACACTTTGCTGTTGTAATATACCTTTAGGTAAATAAATACTTTACAATTTCCTTAGGCAAACTACTTAGTTGCATATTATTTTACCGTGCCAACTAAGTACTTACAGCAAAAATCACGTCAATCTGATAAGCATTTGACAACCTTAAAGACTGGCTAACCAACAAAATCCCTTTCTGGCTCATATTCCCACGATCTTTATTTCGTACGAGAATTTAGGTATTCAGTATGAGAAACACGAAAGAGAAGTAAAAAAATATTAATTATTTGTTATGCTAAATTGTTATCCTGCATTTAATTCTAAACTATCCATTCTTCCTTCTCTTTTCCATTGTTAAAGTCATGCAAATGCTTTAAACTAAAACTTTTTTGTGTTAGTGAAAGATGATATACTTTGCACATTAGAAAGCGGGAGGAGCAGCTCTTTACGTGCCCGAGTGTACGGGCGATGGAAGGTACGCTCGCGCACAGTGCTACAGGTCAACTGGCTACTGCTGGTGTGTCCACCAAGACACTGGCAAGCCGATCCCGGGCTCCTCCGTCAAGGACCGCCGGCCTGACTGCGACGCGGCACCACAACATGCCAGTCCGATGAGAGGTACGGTTCTATCAGGCGAGTTTAATTCATTTGCAATGATGCATTCATCGCATTGGACATCTCAACAATTATTTGTTCTACCTATTAGTAAAATAGTTAATAACATAATTTTATTTTAGTCAACTAGAATTGGATAAAAGTCGTGTTGCTGTCAAAACCTTTTGAATGTCACTATGTAAATTAACTAAGAACATACTTACAATCTAGGTTGTCCAGAACCAATGAAGAGCAATTTCTTACGGGACCTGATGAGCTTCTTCGTTTCCAAAATGACGACTTCTATCAACGGTACTGGCCCTGGGTACGTATAATAAACTGTACACGTAATCTAGGATTTTACTCATCACAGACTGAGATCAAATCATATTCTAAATTGATATTAAATTCTATCCAAGGTCAAACCTAAAAAGACGTATTTATAGACTTGACGTACCTATGGCATAGGTATGTTAGGTTAGCGTTCAAAAGGTTAATGAACGCATGTGAATGTTGTAGGTATACATTTATATTCTTGTTTTTATAGAGATATGGTAAAATGGGGAGCATCCAAGGAGGAGCAAGCTGCTACTTGGACTTACGTGATGTTAGACAAGGATAAGAACAAAGCGTTAGAACGACGGGAATGGAAGGCGTTCCATCAGTTGATATCCAACGTGGAGCCCCTGAGGCGGTGTGGTCGAAAGCTGCCCAGATACTGCGACGTTAACCATGACACCAAGATCAGTATTACAGAGTGGATGGCGTGTTTGGAAGTCACACAAGGGTCACAGGCCCAAACGAGTAAGTTTGCGGATACTAATCTATAAATATAAATACGCTTTCAGTGCAGAAAAAATACCATACCGACTTGCAAGGTTGTACAAAGCTACCAGTTACGTTAGGTAATTTATTGCATCTTGTTATAAAACAACTTTAAATAAGCATCTAATATTGTGTTTATTATTTGTACAGCTGAAGCTACCAAAGCTCCATCTAATCCTAGAAGAAAAGGTCCGAATCCCTTGGAATCATTTCTGAAAGCTGACGATTGATCCATTGCGTGTTCCTGTGGACATTGATGATGTAGAGGACGGTTACAAGTATTCGTGCCAGTGTTAGTGGTAAGAAAACTGTGCAGTGAAGTGTTCATATCTGCGAACGGACTATGGCAAGCCAGGATTACATTTTTTAAGTTTATTTATATTCAAAGCGTATTATTTCCCTTCATACATCTTATTTGGAGAAGAGTTGTGTATGTATCTATAAAAACATACTAAATAATCTCTATCCATTCAATATACTTCAAACCACTGACGAATGTGACCAGCCTGTTTTTGTGCGCTTTTACTGTTATGCCATAAATGTCTTTCCTACGCCCTAATATTTAATTATTATTAAGAGTTTCTAAAAGATTCTCAAACATAATTTGTAATTAGTTTATAAGTAGTTATTGTCGTAATTTATTGAAGTTGATACAAAAATTCTGACTTTCACTAGTCGTGTATTTATGTAATTCCTTAAGAACTACTTACTCTGTCTAGTATCAGAGTGAAAACATTATTTTCTGTTTTTTGAATGCATATTGTTATTGTATTACCATGTATTATGTACATAAACAATTTACCTATGTAACAATTTCTGTGCTGCTTAATTAAAGGCTAAAGCAAAATAGATAAAATAAGTTTATTAACTGTGTAGGTTTTATTTGACATCTTTTGGCACAAAATTATGTATCATATAAAAGTAGTCCAATGTTACATGTAGCTTTTATTGTTGATACTTATGTATAAATTTGTACCTACGAAAAAGAATACTGAATTAAACATCAACTCAAAGAATAGATCCTTTGTTTCGCACTGTCTCTGAAAGTATTTATGTGTTACATATCAACATATATTTTACCCTTTGCGTAAGCTCTGTATTTAAACTGTGTATGTATAGTTTAATTAGTCATTGTCAATTGTAAGGACTATGTGATATTTCGTCATTACTATTGCTAAATAAAATAATTTAATATTTTTTTGTAGTTTCTTATAATTAATAAAGCAAAGCCTGATGGTAAGCGATGATATGACCAACAAAGGCGCACACATTAGGTATCTGGAAAACCCTATAACAAGCCCTATATTAGGTATCTGGGAATGCAGAACTCCTTAGCAGTCATGAGAAAAAATGTTTCGTCTGAGTGAGTGGTGATACAGCGGTGGCGTTTTGCTGTGAGTTCAAAGTCCACACCTATTAACACGATGATAAGCCGAAGAAGGAGAAATGAGTTGAAAAGTTACCGTTCACTCGTTTGGGGCTTTGTCGCTGGACTTCTGGGCGACCCTCTTCGTATGTGTCTCTGAATTCGAGTGCTTCAATCTGGTTTCTAGCGGAACCGTCCCAAAGATGAGAACAGTTTCTATCTACTTTCTACTCAACGCACGAACAGACTTGCGCTTAATATAGTAAGCAATTGTTACTCGTTCTCAATATCGCTCTTTGCTTACCGTACACCTCGTGAGACCACCTAGGTGTGCAGCGGGAACTTTTTTTTTACTTCTGTTCACCTTGGCTCACCTGGGTGTACCGTGGGAAATATAAAATTTCCTCCATCCACTTTGTTATCAAAACTATATCTGAAGAGCAAAGAGATTAATGATTAAAACATATTATGCATTACGATATTCTCCTCTATGTTCTACTGATTGTAAACCGGAGCCATGAAGTGGTAATTTGAGTTCAGGAAAAGATAGAATTCGGCTAATTCGGCTCGGTGGGCAAAGAGCGGGTTGAACCGCGTGCGTTCGTGCAGCGGAATGTTGTTGAATTTAAAGATTTTAATTATGCAGGTATTTAGTGTATGACGTCGTATAATTGTGTATGGTAAAAAAAAATTTGTGCACGCGACCATTGTGGAGAAATTCACCAAAAACTGATTTCGCTGGGCGAACGTTGTCCTGGCGGAACTTTTTTTAATCCATAGACTTTAGAAGAAAAGAGATGTATCCAAAAATTAGTGTGTATTTGTGTGTAATTGTGTATGTATGAATAAAACTAGTGCATGCATAAACTTCGGAGAAATTCAAGTTTCCGCTACGCGAACGTTTGGCCATTAGCTAGTTTTCATATAAAGCGCTTACATAGAGAGCTGTAGATTTTTACATACGTTGTTTTGAATTTGTGTATATTTGTTTAAAAAACAGATTTAGAAAAAATCGTAGGGTTATTAGTAATTACTGAATTTAATGACATGAAATTTTGCATGTGAATAGTTGAATGAATACACTAATTATTGGCATACATTTTACCATGCAATTCATTTAGAACGCTGTGATATTTGACTGCTTTGTAAACAGTGATCTATTCATGGTAAATTTGTCCTATAACTATTTAATTACTAACGGAACATCATTGATACTTGGCAACATGTTGCAGACACTTACAAGGTTTGTATAAACGTGAAAATCTAGACCCTAAAGTGCATACTTTAAGAACTAAGACCTAATAAGCGTATTTTACGTTTATATTTTTATCTTTTAAACCCTACGATTTTTTCTAAATCTGTTTTTTAAACAAATAAGTATACACAAATTCAAAACAACGTATGTAAAAATCTACAGCTCTCTATGTAAGCGCTTTATATGAAAACTAGCTAATGGCCAAACGTTCGCGTAGCGGAAACTTGAATTTCTCCGAAGTTTATGCATGCACTAGTTTTATTCATACATACACAATTACACACAAATACACACTAATTTTTGGATACATCTCTTTTCGTCTAAAGTCTATGGATTAAAAAAAGTTCCGCCAGGACAACGTTCGCCCAGCGGAATCAGTTTTTGGTGAATTTCTCCACAATGGTCGCGTGCACAAATTTTTTTTTACCATACACAATTATACGACGTCATACACTAAATACCTGCATAATTAAAATCTTTAAATTCAACAACATTCCGCTGCACGAACGCACGCGGTTGAACCTTGTCGACAGTCGTCACCTTTTCCACCGGACTAAGCCTGCCACGGATACCGTAACATGAAGGAGATTGCTAAAAATCTCTGGGTAACGACAGGTTACCAAAGGCGGTGGCTTCATTTCCCGGATATCAAATTATTTAGGAGTTGACGAGATATCTAGTGGAAACAGAACGCCAGAATAAGAAATAGATAGAGATGAATTTAAAGAGTCAAATAACCAGCTTACGTTTAGGATTTTACAGAGTAGCCCTATTTTTTAGTATGTAACAGGTTTCTACTCCATCAAGATAGAACTGATAGGATATACTCCGACATCGGGTTACTTGAATAAGTCACTGACGTCTCACCTGATACTGCCTACCTGGGCTACCTAATTGTCTACCTATGCATCTAGTTAACACATTCAGTGCCCCCGACGCGTATGTGCGTTTCCTTACGCTACTCTGTGTGCACAGGTGCGTCGAGGGCACACAGAGTAGCGTAAGGAAACGCACATACGCGTCGGGGGCACTGAATGTGTTAAGGCTGCTGATCACGAAGAAGTTTAGATATGAATTTATGACTTATTAATTTTTGTGTATAGTTTTGGTCAGACGAACAATTTTTTTGTACTTAATAGGATGTGCGCATAGCAATAAAATCACAGTTCATGTTTGGAAGAGTTATATAATATTCTATACACATAATATAACAACAACAAAGGTACAATTTTTCAAGCTATACCAAATATGCTTCATTAAATAATTATAATAATATGATATTATTGGAAAGATTTCACGTATTTATTCCTTTGTTATCTTAATCTATATTACTTGGAATATAAGAGCTTGATACTATTGTATGCCCAAGTCTGGAATCTAAAACTGAACTTGTAAAATTGTATATTTTGAAAAAGATTAAAAAGTCGCTAAGCGTCTGTCTGCAATAAAGGATGAATTACAGAAATAAGACATTATTTTTTCCCTTTCAAAATCTTGTCTAGTAAAGTTTTATACAATTTCAATAAATAGAATACCACTATACGTACAATATACCCAAATAGAAAACTAGGTATCCATTATTTCTACACAACACGAGTAATTGCGCTATGAGTAAATATTTACATAAAAATATGTTGTTATTCTAATTGGAGTGGGAATTGTGTCTGTAGCACGGTCCGCCACATGGTTGGTTAGCGCGGGCCTTAGCAGCACCATTCTTAGAACCTTAGTCAGGTGTGGCTACCTCGCACTGTACGGTTTTCTTATACTCATCGACTGTGTCGGTAAGAATTTTCTGGAAGATGCTTTCAAAGATCTGGTTCTTAACTATAGCCTCGTCGGCATGCAGCGCAGTCCACTCGGGCTCGCAACGCCGCCACTCGGCGAAAAGTATGTCGTCGATGTGGTCCGACCGCCGACTTGAAACTCCTGAACGAACAAACATAAAATATTATATAACATTGTACTAAGTATAATTAAGTAAAATGAACTTTTACGTTTTCTTCAAGTGTATATGATAATTAACTTGAAGAAAACGTAATGCCCGGACGTTTATTGGTATAAAACAATGGTTGCACTGGGGATCGTTTTTTTAGTTCAGAGAGCCGATAGCCGATACCTACAACATTTTATGTAGCGTGTAGCGTATATTTCAAATTACACCTCAACCGCTGTCTCAGACTTTAGTGATTGGATGAACATAAGTGCATATCTAATGCTAAAATTCGCTTAATTTGGATACTAGATAATCGAGTGTCTTTTTATTCATCTTAAAATACGTATTATATGTTGCAATATGTGCTTGCAGACTTACTGTATGAGATTTCAGTTCAGAACAGACAGAATTTAAGATATTTTATGTTTGAACTTCTCAAGAACGACATTATACACTGGTACACTAAAATAGGATACTATACTCGGAATTTTAATTCCATTCCAGATTTGACAATTTCAGTATTGCAACGTTATGACACGTAATAAATAGTGACGTTGCGAAATTATTCGATATGGAAATCGAATATTTCTGAATCGTTTCCTCTCGTTTATAAATTTACTCTCGTAAACTAAGTTTATCAGGAAATAAAATATTTCTGAACCGATAATTTAGTTTTGACAATTAATTAACGATCTGAGAATTTTCTTTTGAAATTTTGTGTGAAATTAATAAAAAATGCAATCATGAAGGAACGTGACAAATAAAACAGACATTTTATAAATTGTCGCCGTCATCGCTATCGCTATCGCCGTTACTCTATGTAGCATTTATTATGAATTGTGTCTTTGATATTTATTGTCAATTAACATATCTAGCTTACTAATTTTTTCCTCCTCTTTGAAAACATGGGATACGCATTTAGACCATTCGGTAGCCGTAATTTTTTGAATGCCTTCCTGAAACTGATTCACTGATTGTTTATCGATTTTTGTGTTCATCACTACACTGTTATATGTGGTATCATTATTTCACAAAATGACAGTGGTCAATGTCAAATCAGGAATCGAATTAAAAGTCTGACTATAGACCCTATTTTAGTAAAAAAACTCACCAGACACGGTAGTAGGCGGGACACTGGTGAGCACCTCCTTTAATTCTGAAGTGGTTTTCTCGACCAATTCGTGAACTTCCACTGGTGGCTTCTGCGGCAGCAGATTACACGCGTCCCATGGCTTATCGCTGTGCTCGTGTTTATGCCTTTCCAATGATTCCTGACAAAAATCTTGCACAAATACATTGAAGGCCTCTGATTGGTCAGACATACTGCCTCCTGGATCCATAATGTGTTTTTCTACTTTTTCTTCTAAATTTTCGTCCGGCGTAAACATGCGCGGGGGTTTTGGGACTCGAGTTTCTGTGGGCGGGGTGTAAGGCGGCGGTGGCTTGTCCGGAATCTCTCTTACAACTAGCAATCGACATTGCTGTTGTTCTAAAGCCTTTATCTGGAAAATAATAAGGGCGGTTTCTAAGACATGCTTTTATTGTATGGGGATACATTTTGCTTTCAGTCGACTTCGGAAATTTATTATTTACTAAATTACAATTTTGGATTCTAGGCGTGTAATTGTAGCTTACTGTTGAGATTTTTTTGAGACCGGGACATGAAGTGAAATGTTTCCAGTACAAGATGGTATTGCAGTTTGTGCTTCACACTCCAGTTGGCAAGGGCACTTCCTTGCCTCCAACTTTAATTTAATTATGTCATTAATTTACCTCTCTTTCTATCTCTAGTTGTTGTCTCCGCAGCTCCTCTGCCTCAACATGGACCGGCGCCGTGAGCGTCGTTAACGAAGACACGGACCCGCACAGCGGCTGACTACTGACGCTGTCTGTCTCTGAAACTATTGCAGGCAACAGATCGTTACACAACATGATGAACACACAAAATACAAGCTGTTAAACATAGTAGTTGATACTTATTAGAATTAGTACAAGCTTTAATTATATTGTACTTACTTGAAGCAGAGGATGCAGTTGACTTCGGTGGTAAACAGGTAGGAACATCTGGAGGCTGACTGTCCACGACAGCAGCGGCGCCGACCGGCACGGGTAGCGGGCCCGTCGGCGTTTGACTAGTAAGTACTGGCTCCTTATCTATTGAACACTGACTTTCCACAGACACCACCTCGCACACACACGAATGTTCTACACTTGGAGGCGAGCTTAATTCGTTGACACGACAAGTAGTGTCAGACTTGAACGTCAGCGTAGAAGTAGTTTGACTACATCGGTCCTCTAAAATCTCTGACTTGTTGTCCATTGACTGCACACTCGTATCTTTGATTTCATAAACCTTACTAGAGTGATCGCTTTCGTGGTCTGGAGAGCTGGGCGGTGATTTCTGATCCTCGTGCAGATCTTTGTAGTACTGATCGAATTCTTCAATGAGACTTCGTGCAGTAGACGGCGAGCTTGAAGATCTATCAGACTCTTTATTCTTAATCTGATCCATAAGTTTCTCAACGACATCACTACCACTCAGATTAGTAGTGTTATGACTGTTCGCTGAGTGAACTATATTTCTCAAAGCCTCCTCGTTTACCTCATACTGTTTTCCACTGCTGAATATCTGCGGGAGGGTTAGATTATGAAACAGTATATTCAGGTACCCACCGTCAACCACTACGAAGTTCTCAGCGGCGGTGTCGGTGGCGTGATCCATGAGTACGGCGCCTGGCGTGTCGCTGGTCTGTACGTACTTCTCTGCACTGAGCACACTCACCACCGAATCATGGACCTCCGCCGGGATTATAGATGCATCCGAGGTAACTTTAGAAGTGGTACTCTCTTCACACCCACTACTCGACAAATCAAAACATTTCAACGGAGCGGCGTTCCTGTCGAAGCTAGAGCTTCGCTTTAACTTCCTTTTGCCAAGAATAATCTGTTCCACATCGACGTTATTTTTAAGTTTTAACTCTATATTCTTCTTGGTTTTCATAAGGGCAACCTTGCGTTTCTCGGAGAGTGTGAGCAAAGCTTTGCGCATACGTTGCATCTCCCCACACTCGTGTTGCAGCTTGAGCAATGCACCGCGCTGTTTCTTCTTCAACGTCGATATGTCAGTGTTGTCGTGTTTTTTCTTTTTCTCTAACCAAAGTATTTGAGATTTCGTAAAGTCTTTTAGCGCATCTTCTCGCATTTTCAATACGAATAAGAGATTCTTTGCTCGTCTTTGCTCATCACGAATGAGTAAATTAAGCTGAAAGTATAATAAAACAAACTTTAGCTATAAACCAAAGCAAGTAAACAAATAACAAGAAGAAAATTATGCTACCTACTTATCGTGATAACCTGGCCAGTAATGATTTACATTACAGTAGACAGCCAGTGGAAGGGTAGCGACAGTCACACGGTGGCAGCAAAATATTTACAAATTAAAGAATAACACTTACCAGACAAAGACTCTTTGATGCCATTGTTTCGGTGTCGTCAATATTCGCGCCATTTTCAAGTTTCGATAAGAAATTGTCGTACTCTGAATTCTTGACATCGAATGTGGAGTCAAATAACACAGAATTATTGACAAAGTTTTCTACTTTGTTTTCGGGGTAACATTTGTCAGAGAGCGAGCAACTCTCCAGATACTGTAACGATTCAAAGAATGAATCTATAAAGTTGAGTTCCCTCTGGAACTGTTCACATATGTAGTCGTTCTGTAATAGACCGTTATTAACTCTTATTGTGCTAATTATATCCGACGGTTTCATTAATTTGTTAAAGACGTACGAGCAATTAAGAGTCTTCAGATCATTTAAACGGTTAAGATATTCCTCCTCTTGTGTAGTTTCCTTTTTGTTGTACGAATCGTCGGAAGATTCGCTTTCACTCACATTCTTATTTTTAAATTCATTCTTGAATACAGACACAACATTCACAGGGTAATTTAATGGACTAGGCGGAAGAGTTGGTTTGACTTCTTCGTCGCTACCAACAATTTGGAAGTTGAACTTTTGTTTAGTAGTGTACGTTAAGGTAGCATGGCTAATAATATAAGAGGCACTTTGACAAATACTTATATCACTAGAATTCACTTCTTCATTGTGAGGGACTATTTTTAAAGGCGGCACTTTAAGATTTGGCAAAGATGTTGAGTCTAAGGTTCTAGGATCCTCTTTGGGTTCGCACTTATCCTTGGTTAACGATACATTTGGTATTTCGAGACTATCGAATGTTAGTTTGTTAGGATCCGTTTGTATAGTACTTTCGCATCTGGTTATTGTATTGATTTCAAAATCTTCCATATCTGTGTCGCGGTGCATCGTTGTTGGCATCGGGTCGGTGGATACATCCGCATCTTTATAGTGGACGATATCGTCAGTTTCGATACAGCAGTCGACAGTGGTTTTGAGAGGGGCCACATAGGGTACAGTAGCAGACTTTTTGTCTTTCTTCTTATACTTTTCATCAAGCGGAACATGTATTACTGTCGGAGATCTTTCCTTATTGGGGACATCTTTTATAAAACCCACTTTAGACTTGTTTTGTAAATATGGTAATTTGTTTGTTTTAGGTTTTTCTACAGGTCGTTTGTAAGTTACCGATTTGCTTTTTAGATTATCATACAGCATATGTTTTAAATTTGTTACTTCTTTTTCACTTTCACTTGGTGCTACACAATTTTTACTTACACTATTTTTTGATGTTGGGTTCAAATTTTTTCTTGATGTTTCTAGAAACAAAAATTATCAATTATTGTTACTATTATATTAAAGTCAATATAATAGAGGATAATTATGCATGTACTTTTTACATAAAAATGTACACCATGATGTTCATGTTTAAGTATATTTTAGCACTAAGAAACAATTCAAAATAAATAATATTTTTGATTTGAAACTGGTTTACCAATGAGAAGCATTATTTTAAATATATACCCTATATATTATTCATTGTTATAATGGCAACAGAAGTATATCATATGTCCAAATTCAACTATCTAGCTATCAGGATTCAGGATTACCGGGTCTTAGTAATAGGAATCCCATTTCTACCCTTTGGGTACAACACCCTAAAAATACATATGAATAAGTGCATAAGTCCAAAGAAAAAGAGTATATGTATAATTATTTATAAAAAGAGTATTATATTATATGTATGTTCAAATTGTCAATACACTTTATGGATTATCTTACATTCTTTATATTCGGTTTTTTCTTTTTAAAAAAACATGTTGCCCTACACTAGGATGCACGATCCTGTGTCGTGGGTGCATTTGCAATCACACAATTTCACATACACATCATACCCAAACCAGGAACAAAAATTTGGGGATCACACAAAGAGTTGTTCCATGCAGGAATCAAACCCTTTGTTTGACCCCAGTCTAACGGACTGCTCTGTCCTGGTAGCATCCAGGACAGAGCAGTCCGTTCTTAGACATAATTTTTGAAAACAAAAGCATGTAAATTATTTTTATATACAGAAGTAACTAACCTTTTTCTTTATCTTTAACATTTCTTGCTTTACTATTATCGAGACTTGAACTATTAGTATTTCTGTTTCTATAACTTTGTGCAGGTGCAATCACTTCCTTCTTATTATGTGCACTATTTGTTTTGGCACTTGTTTTTACTTCTTTAGAATCTGTAACAAATTAATACACAAGTGTTAGTAGTCAGGAGTTAGAACATATATATACATAATAGACATATCCCATTGTATATTTACTTAGAACATTTCTGAGATTACTGAAATTACTTTATTAATAAATAATTTTATGTATTAATAAAGTAAATTTTAATAATATTTTGCGTACCTATAACTTTATATAAAAGAAGACAAATTGCATCAGTCGGAAATATATTTTAACTATTAACTTGTTTATTATATTAAATTATAATGATATAGAGCAACATTGAAGGTGAGTTTGAAGAAACCAAATTGCAAACTGAGAGAAAGAGCACATTATAACTCGTTTAATGCAAACACTTTGTCATAAGAACATGTTTTTAGTGTAAAGTAGGTTGCTAATGATGTAATGTTTGTATTTCTTGTTAATTTTCTGAGTAAGCAAAGAAACAATTATGTACAAGCATTATAAAATTAATGCTTACTCTATGAGTTGACTTGTACCAAATTGTTCTGTGTGACAGTGGAAACTCAAATGTGCTGTTGCTATCTGAATCTATAAATTACAACATCTACAATTCTACAAGTATGGATGCAAGTGCCTACATTGGTATCTATAATAAATGCATTTGCACTAGTGAACTGGGTGTTGATTGACATTATTGTTTGCAATCAACATTGATGACGCAAGCACAAGATGAATTTGAATTGATTGAGTTTAAAATCAGGACTATCTGTTATCTAACATATTAGGTACAATAAGATAATTATAACATTCAATGGATGCACAAAATAATAAATATGTTATTAAAGTAACAAAAATATATTAAAAGTTATTAATAACACTGAATAAGAATGTTTTAACTAGTGCAAAGGCAAATTTGTTGCTATTTGTTGTATTGTGTGAACAAAAATATAATTAGATTATAATGATTTGTTAGCTGTTATGGCAAAATGAGTAACACTTTAATTGAACTTACATTTAGTTGAATTTGTTAACCTTGATGTAGTTCTATTGGGGGATTGTTTCTCTTTAAAATCAGCTACCACAGCTCTGTTTGATGTTTTCACAGGAAATGGCTTTTTCTCTTTAGCTAAAACACAAAAAATAACTGAGTTGTCTGATAATACACTAGCCAGTACAAACATGCTTTTTATTTATTTGTTATTCTTTAAAGTAACAAAATATTGATGAATTATAAAACATATTTAGAATCATTTAAAGTAATAAAGAAATCAAGTGGAAAAATTACATTTCTGGAGTCAATAAATATACTAATATATATTATTAAAATTATTAGTGATTGATCAATAGTATGCATAGTGCTAATACCTTTGCTTCAAATAAAAAAACATAACATGCTTTTCAACTTTCTAGAATATTTTTATAGCACAAACACAACAGATATGGACGCTTCTAAAATTGATTCTAGTTTGTATTTGCATTATCACAGTTTAATATACAAATTATGATGATTGAGTCGTAAAATAAAATAAATATGTTGTAGTGACAAATTATTTTTATCATTCAGCAATTTGTGAAAGCAAATATACAATACAGTGTGCACAGCAATTTTTTTCAAAATGTATGTTATTATTATTTTGTGGTAGCTTGCAAAAATGTTCTTTTATATTTAATTACTTTGCTTAAACCTAAATGATATGGATATAATTTTGCAAACAAGATCTGTCATGCCCCACTTAACAAATCTAATAACATTATCATGTTTGCTCTATGATTAATTGGTCAAGTTAGATGTATGTCATATATTGTTGCATAGTACCATACTCTTTGACTGAGCAAATAGAAACTGTTTTACTAGGATATCTACTAGGAGACCGACATTAATATCCTATTATTTTGTTGTCAAAAGTAGAATTATCAATCAAATCATTAAATTATTATCATTTGATGCAAAGCAGGGGCAATATAGGCTGAACCTGAACACATTGCATTATTTATAATTACAAATTAAAAGTGATTACATCTAAATATATATTAGGTGAAAGTGTGACTGACTGACTGACATATCAACGCACAGCCTAAACAGCTAAACATATGCACTTGAAGCTTAGTACAGTAGAGGTGTACTAAGAAACGAATTTCCGAATTTTCTAAAACTGCCAGGATACATTACTTTTGTGAGCGTGCGAAGTCGCGGACGGAAACTAGACAAAAAATAAAATACATAGTTAGTGAAATGAATACTTACAAAATTTTAGATGAAGATCGTTTTCATCATCTTCTGTGATGGTAACAATTTTTCTTTTTGTATGATTTGGAGCTGCTGGAGCAGCCATAATCCTGGGTGGACCAGTGAAATGCGACTTCAATGATCTATGTCCAGTCAATATATTATCATCATTTTCAAGTGTAATGATGCGTCTTAGTCTTGGTTGGAGTGTGTAGCTGTGAGGAGCCCATGACGCTGTAAGAAACAAACATTGCATTTTGACCAACTTCTCATCTTAAATTAGGCAAATCATCAGCAATATTCAATCCAATACTGTTGTACTTATTGTATGCATGTAATAAAAAACAAAAATATGCATTAGAATTTAAACAGTACTAGATGAAAATACTTTATTTTTGAGTGCACAGTATTATGTGTAGCTGAAAAGTACAGACAAAAAGCTAGCTATAATGTGAATTTAAAGTCACTAGGTCAATGGTGTGCCAAATATTCATAAGATCATTACAATAAATTGAATTTAGTCTCATAATGATAATATAATTATGAAACTGTTGCTAATAGTGAACTGACAAGAGTAAACATATGATCATTTGATCTGTGGGCTTTAGTCACATACCTAACTACAAATATTAAAACCTGAAGTAGAATTGAATTGAAAGTTATTACTTGCTTCTGTAATTTTTTATAGCATGGTAATTGCACCATGACTTATATTACACTGTTAACTTCTACAATTTTAGCAAGTCATCAGCACATTACAATTGCCTTTTAGATAATTGTTCTTAATTGAGAATGTTTATTTGGAAAATACCACCAAAATAGATCTCGAGTCGAAGTATTATTACCAAAATTGACCAAAACTACAACATTTAGGTTGCATTGTTCAGTGCCAGACTTGAAACATTTACAGGTTTTACAACAATAAACAGTGCTTTCTTTAACATTAAGCCAAACAAAGACACTTACAGCGTGCTTTACATAAAAGAACACGAAGACTAGAAATAACGTGCGTCACTATCCAGACGATGGTCATACATCATGAAAAACCATGAAGAAAAAAACAACAATCTGCCTCACCTTTGGAGTCAAAATCAAAATCTGGAAGCTTCGTGTATTTAGTAACTGTGCTCTTTTGCTTAATTGGTGCTGTGTAACTGCTATCGTCTATTTTTAAAAAGAAACCATATAAATTGCTAATATCGGCATCTGGTTTTGTTGATGCCGATGCATCCATTATAAAGTGAACACTAGAAAATTTGTGCATAAATTACGGTGTCTACCATTTTATTTGATATTTGAAAATATAGATAAGCTCAAACACCAGCACAGTGTTGTTAGGGTTAATTTAGCTAGTTTCTATCACATTTTTCAATTTATTTGTTGCACGAAGATTTTTTCTGAAGTAATCAAGTAGATAATAGTTGCTTGTCAATAAATTTTAAACAACTTTTACTCTACGGTTTTAGTCTATATTGGCATAGACAAAGATAACCACAGATATTGAATCTGTATGAACATTTATTATTTAAATACATAAATAGAAATGAGATTTTTGTAAAAAAATATTTATTATTAATTCATGGCACTAAATGTAAAAAAGGGGTTAAAAAATTCAGTGTTATGTAATCACCAGTCAAAACTCTATGACTATATTTAATCAATTAAAACCATAAATTCATAGAGTAGCTATCAAAGCAAAATATATCTATGTCGACTCTACCAATCTCTACGACTCTACGTTTTTACATAGTTCCTGCATTGTGCGATTCATGGAAGTAGTGGAGTAAAATCAATCTTTGTTTGTTTAGCAAAATCCAATATTCGTTGCCTCTCTAGAAATTGGTACTGTGTTCGTGAAGTTAAAGACTACAATTTATGAACATTGGATATCCTATAGTTTTTTTTCGAAATCCTAGTAGTATAGATCGTGCGTAGCAGTATAGCAATCTCTGTGATTTTACAGACAGGGAACTCGGTGGTCACTGTTGACGAAAAAATGTGTCCTTATTCATTCGCGAATGGAAAATATTGGTCGTAATTATATTCCTGTTTGAGAAGCGACGATGCAATCGCTGGCTTTTCATCATAGATTCAAAAGATAGTGCTAAGGGACAATGAATATTGCTACAATTGATGAAATTTGGTGCGTTGCGTAGAAGAACTTTGTGTTAAAGGATTCATTATAAAATAAACTGTGAGTAATACGTTTATTAGTATCGGTTGGCCATTTTTCCTTAAATATGAATTGATGAAGATAACTATTTTAAGATGTTATGTATTGGATACCTATATTGATTCATGTAGAAGCAGCTGTAAGTGTTGTGGGTTGTTACTTATTACCTTCCTGATGTTCTTTCTTATGGAATATTTGTTGTGTTGGGTGTGTAGTTATAAATCAGTACTATTTAATACTCTTGTTATTCAAATCTAGTTAAGTTAATGTGAAAAATATTATATATATATATATTTATATTTATTATGAGCTGGATATTGTTTCAATATGTCAAAGAGTATTATGTGTCATCACAGGCATCAAGAAGTACTTATAAGGTTGGTAGAAAGTTTAAATGTATGAAAAATATGCAGGTAGGTTTGATTATTATTCAAAACTATGGTAACAAAAGCAGCTCTTTCACAATCTTCACAATCACAGCTGCAACAATTATTGTTGTTTTTTTTTAAATGTTGCCCCATACTAGAATTTTCTCCTGTGTCATGGGTGTGTTTACAAACATACAATTCCACATGCACATCACACCCCGACCTGGAACAACAATTAGTGGATCACACAAAGAGGTTTTCCGTGCGGGAATCAAACCTTCGACACATTGCATAGCAGCCAGTTGCCCAGCCACCGTGCCGACCGTGCAGACAAAATTGTTCTCTCATAATATTGTGTAGTTGGATTATAACTCTGTTTAAATGACTAATTATGCTATTGGTAATGCATCATGCAAATGAGTGTGTACAGTATATGAGATACAGCTTGCATGAACCGTGGCTTGTTGCATTAATGTTTTATATAAATGTGAAATGTGCATAGTTGTTGTTGTCCAGTATCCATAGTTTTATAAATTCTATTAATTATTGAATAAGTAAAAAAAAGCAGTAGTACCTTCCACTGTATGATTATTTAATATAACTCAATGTTAAGCATTAAAATGATTAATAACCAATATAAAATTTGGAACCAGCAAGTGGGCTTACTATTTATTAACAAAAAGCTTATTGACTAGATATTCCTAATTTGGTTCATTAAAAAATTTAACACTAATAAATGCAAATACCCTAAAGTTCACGGAGTAAAACTTATGTACAATGTTGCCAACCTAACAATTTCAGTAGTTAAATAGTTAGTGAAGACACAAACTGTTTAACTGTAGATTTTCTTATAACCACTATTTTTCAAACAAATATATAAAAAAGAATGGATGTGAGTTATGAAAATTCTTTTCAAATGTAAATGCAAGTGCAAATATCAATATTGAAATCATGCATGTTGGTATATGGCAGACATAGGTACTTATAAATATATTTCCATCTTTTTTATTATGGAAATACCTTAAACAGATCTTGTATAAAAATACCACATTCAGAGAAATAGTGACAGTGCAGGGTAATTAGTTGTACAAGCTAGTGTTGCTGTTAACAAAATAAAAAAGATGTATCTATTGATTGCTATTAGTGTAGTGATTTCTTTGATTGGTTTCATTTTGGACATTGGAATAAGGATTTACGGTGCTAGAATAAGGTAGCTATTTTAATAATTATCTCTATCATTGGCCTTTCTTTTACTAGACCTAAATAGTGGACAACAGTAAAAAACAAATGTTTTCTTACTATTAATTTAATTTTGGTGTGATTGTATATTATAATTAAGGATTTTCCTTTCTTTTCTAATGTGGGGATCTACCATCAAAGAATTTTTTCAAAGACATTATTATAATTTATATTTTTTGGATACCTAAGTTTTAATAAGCTAGAAAATAGTAAAATAGAATATTTTAGTAAGTCATAGTAGTGAAAATTCAGTATTTTTTTTAAATTATTTTTCCTATCTTTCTACCCACTAGTACAAGAGTCAGATCAGTATCTAGCTATTGTTACTTATTATATTAATACTAATTATGAAACAAAATAACAAGTTTTTTCTACTATATTTATCAAAATATGCCAATTTTCGCCAAAAAAGCCAATTTGTTCATTCAATAATACCTAACTTTCTACTTAATATCTGTTGATTTAGCCTCTAAGGACAGTCCTTATTAATTTTTATCTAGCTAAAATATCAACATTGAAATCATGCAGTTTTTTTGTGGCAGATTTTCATCTTTTTTTTATTATGGAAGTAACTTAAATGGATCTTTTGTAAAATACATGCATTCTTACTATTAATTTAATTTTGGTTTATATGTATATTATAATTAAGGGTTTTCTTTTCTTGTTCAATTTGAGGATCTATGCTCAAAAAAGAAGCTTCAAATACATTATTGCTATTTTTTTTTTTTTGATACAGTACAACACCTTCTTAAATATAAAGGTGCATTTAATAGCTACATTAAAATAAAATATTTTCCAACTAGTCAAATTCAACATATTATTATCAAAAACTTTGAATTTTTTTTTTTTGGTGAATTTGTGTGAATTGTATCTTTTGCATCATCCATTACCATTAATGTTTTTACATCAAATATAATTCTTGGATATTTGAAAAATAACCTAGAAAAACAAGTAAAATCAATATTTTAGTAATCTGCTGTAGTGAAAGATCAGTACATTTCAAAATATTTTTGTTCCTTGCATTCTACCCACTTGTACTAGAGTTAGATCAGTATCTAGTTATTGTTATACATTAGTAATTTCCTTATTAAAAATAAAAAAAACTTGATCTCTCAGGCTCTATCAAGGGTGATATAAAAATGGGAAAACAAAATAAGTAGTAAATTTCGTGTGTGAACAACCTACTTCCCTATCTACAATTTATATTAATCTACAATAAAATTACCTTTTTGAGTTTTGCCCAACCCACAATTGGAAATATTTTTCTTCAAACGACAACGCGGAATTTATTAACAAACACATCTCCAGCACAGAGATCACAGTTACAGTTTTCCACAATTCACGGAAATAGACAATTTAAATTTATTTCCTAGCATTTTATTAATGCACTTGGAAAAACAAAACAAATTGTGATACAAGTTTAACGCCCAATAATAAAATAATTCCGCGTAAACACGACTATAACCTATTTTGCAAACAAGCTGTGAGCAACTAAACAAAAACAAGTACCCATTCCTACCAGAATCTAACTGGATCTAGATGATAAGTGGCGCTAACGGCGATTGAAATGGTAGGATATAAATTCGACAGCTAAGAATTTTGCAAAGTTCATAATTTTTTTCGATAGATTCCGGTCTTTTTTCCAGATTATGTATTAAAATTATGATTATTCGTATGCAGTCTATCAACCTGCGAATCGAGTTATAAGTAAAATTACGTATTTACGCAAGGATTTGACTATGTAGCTATCTATAGCATGCTTAGGTCCTCGCGTAAAAAAACTAATATAAACTTTTAACAATATCCAATAATGTTAAATCTTGTAGGTAGTAGTTTGGCGTTTTTGAGGTAGATGGCGCTGTTGTTATTCTTTGTGGATAATAATAATTTATTTATAATAATGACGAAACAATCACGAAAATGCTTCAGAACTCCAAAAATAAAACATTCCAGTTAAATTCCCTTTTCGCTAGTTAAATTATCATAGCTCGGGTTCACACCTCACTTATAAACAGCCAGAAAATTTTAAATTTTCAATACTTTAAAAACTCAAAGAATTCACTAGTAAAAACAAATCACTACAATTACTATAGAAACTCAATAATAAATTGTTTAACTTGTACAACTTAAATGTTGCAAAAAAAAGTAAACAATGCTTATCACATGGACAAAGAAAAATCAAACCAAAAATCCGCGAAACACATATTTCTGCTTTAAAGACTAATACAACCATTCGAAACATAAAAAAAACTACGTTTAAAAAACCGACTTCAAAAACAAAAAATTGTCAAATAATTAAAATAGATATTTTAATACCACTCTTAAGTACGCGAAGCTAATACTTTTAATATTAATAATAAACACTATCAATTACATGTGCTACCTATTCATAGGTTTAAAGTCGGTGCCAAGCCTAATACATAATATTATAAGCATTTGATTGATGGCCTTAGCGTAGAATCAGAAGTCAATATGGTTTCGTTACATGCGAAATTATATATAGCTTAGAAAGATATTCGGGTGAATTATGAATTCTGAAAGTTTTCTCGTACTAAACGTAACTCGTGGGTTGTTAAAAGTACGAACAAACGTAGTACAAACACGAGGTCGCTACTGTAAACCGTTGATGAGTTCCCTAGATTGTCCTTCGTCTTCATCATCAGATCTCTAATGACAGTCACATTCCATCTAGATGTAAAGTTCTTATCAAAACGAATTAATTAAGCTCAAACACAAGGAAGTTGCTATGAATCCTTGAGGAATTCCCTCGACTGTCAATGGTCTCCATCGTCAGGTACACTGCAGACCTTCAGTTGTTATAATCCATACAAGTACAAAGTTTTCATCAATATAAATGAATTAAGTTCAAACACGAAGTAGTTACTGTAAACCGTTCAGGAGTTCCCTAAGCTGTCCTTCGTTCTCATCATCAGACCCCTAATGACAGTTATTACCAAGCCTGGTGCAAAGTGCTCGCCAATACGAATCATTGAAGCCCAAACACAAGGCAACTACTCCAAATAGTCAAGGAGATCCCTCGACTGTCTTCCAGCTCCAACATCTGGTCGACTTCGACCTTCGTCAAGTTGTAGTGTTGTTAAAGGCCTACTTAAACATCGTACAAAAAAACTACTCGCCCCTACAATTTTCGAAAGTTCCCCTCGGTTTCTCTAGGATTCCATCATCAGGTCCTGACCTTATGACAATGATACTAAATGGCAAGTATACCCTATCGAATAAAAAAAAAATTTTGCAAATCGGTCCATGCGTCTTCGAGTAATCGGCGTACATACATAAAAAAAAAAATACTCGTCGAATTGAGAACCCCCTCCTTTTTTGGAGTCGGTTAAAAAATAAAAATGGCAAGTAATTCAGTGCGTTTCTGCCTTCAAGGAGCGCATGCTCCTGATAATTAAGGATTTTCATTTCTACTCCAATGTGGAAGATTTTTTACTTGCAAATGTGCATTCAATATCTTCATTGAAAAACACTATTTTCAAAACAATTCAATACTTTATTGAAATGTATAAAATTTTAAATTTATATGTATTTTGTTTGCAATGGAACTTCTGCGTCATAATGGTTTTACATCAAATATCATTCCTGGATATCTTAAAAATAAGCAAGAAATAACGAAAATCTAATATTTTATTAATCTGTTGTAATGAAAAGTCAGTTTTTTTATTTTTTCCTAGCGTTCTACCCACTTCAGTATCTAGTTATTGTTACATATTATATTAATTCTAATTATGAAACAAAAGAACATGTTTTTGCTACTATGTCTGTCATATATGTCAATTTGCACATAAGAAAACAATATGTTTAGTAATGATAGGATAATTTGACTTAAGTGAAAAATTGTCAAAATAATAATACATAAAATATGTGTAAAATGCAATAGCATAAAATCTAGTCTCTACGCTACTTATGATAAAAAAAATTACCAATCTGTGGAGAATAGGTACTTGTTACATTGAATTAAAGCGTTCAACTTCTGTTTAATTTAGAAGTCTAAATAAAATAGATTCATCCTAACTATCCATTCTCTTCAGAGATTTATTCCCGAAAACATATGAAACATTGAGACACAAGATTAATAAATGTGGCCTGCAGATGAATGAGTTGAAGACAAAAAGACCATACAAGGTTTTTAAAAAACAAATTGTAATGTTATTCTAAAACATATTATCTCTGAGAAAGTAAAACTTGGAAAATATGTTATGTAAAAAGTAGAACAACTAAAATTTTTTTTGACTTGTTACACACACTGCTATTTGATCGATGTATACAAAAGAAAACTAGTAACATTTCTGTATTACCTACTTAAGATAGATTTATTACACTGATGTATGAACATAGAGAGAAGCAAAGTCTTATAAATATATATTGTTGACCATCATTCATCATCATTATCACTATTTAATAGTGTACTAAAATATATAACCACCCGCCTAGTAAGCACCCCTTTGGGGGAATGACAATCTCCCTACGCCAACCAGTAACAAAGAAGTATTTTGTGGCGAAGAAGTCTTAACATGCCATGAATTTATATTTATTAAGCCCACAACCAAATTTAAATTTTGTTCCCGTTCTTCATTATTTTAATATGATTCCTTTTAATTTTATCCATTACTTGATGAAAATTTATATTCCTTTCCCAACGATTGGCTATTACATGCATGATTTAAAATTTTTATTTACGTACTACTTTTATTTATTTTATTTAGATCAAAAATGGCGGTGAAAAAACATGAGCTGGTACACGACAATCGCAACCAGTTGGATCTGCTGGCATTGGAGCAGTACATCCAGCTGATGAACGACCAAAGTAACTATATGCCAGCCCCGCAAGAACTCGTCAAAAATTGTCAGGACATTGTGAAATGTCTTGGTAAATATTTCCGCACTATTGTCAATCGCATGTATCTTTACTCTTAAAATTACAAACCACTATTGTTGTTGTATCAAATGCTTGCAGCGCGCGCATCTGGGAATGAAGAACAAATGTGGAACCTGTTACAAACCGTGGAAGAATATTTGCTGCGAATAGTGAACACAGTTCACAGTAGTGTTCGTCACGAGATTGTGACTGCCATACTGGATAAATTCTACACGTTCATTTCAGACCCTCGTAAGTTAACAGTTCAAATTCAATCATACTATATTAATACAAGATTAATATGCCTTGTATTGTGTTTTTAATTTGCTTATGATCTTTTAAGTTTAAGTTATTGTTTCATGAGTTTTTATTTTTGCAGAATCGGACGCTTGTCCTGCGGCGTCCGTGGTCCTCATCGTGCTAGACTGCTCTGACGCAGAAGGCAATTTGTCAGCTGCGCGCTGGCTGGTCCAGCAGGGAGATAACGGCCCGGCAGGTGCAGGACTTAGGGCTTCTTTGTCTTGCCTCTATTGCTGGCTTCACGAGTGGCATGGTACACCAGCATTAGGAGATTGGGTGTTGGCTTTTATTAAGGCCTTAGAGGTGAGAAGAGATTAACCTAATGAACACTATAATAGAACAACCAAATTACTAATGCTTTTAATTTTTACACAGGAGAATGAGCGGTTTGATATCCTTATCGAAGTGTCAGTAGATAACTTGGGTCGCCTCTTCTTGGCCTTAAATGATCCCGTGTCACTCCGACAGTCGGTAGCCGAGGTCATTTTCCACGTCTTGGCTTCACTTCGGGAATCTACTGAGGCATTTGACAGGGTACAGTATTTTCAACATTAGTGTTGTTGATGCTAAATATTTCACCTCTGCACATTGTTATTTTATTTCACTGTTTTCAATTTTCCATCAGATTGCGCCCCATGTTGGACGTGTCTTGGCCAATCTAGCCAACGATAGCGGTCAGTGGAGTCGTCAGCTTCTGCAAAACGTTGTGGATATATTAACAGCTACTGTTGACGGACACGTTGATGCGTTGAAAGGCGACGCTCAGGACATGTTTAAAGACAAATACGATGACGTGGTAAGTAAAGTTCTCAAGAATCAAACACAAAAATTACCATCACTGTATGCTACAAAACTATGTGCTTATTTTAATAAAATCCTACCCACCAGCATTGTGTTTAGGCATAACTAAGTTATTTGCATCACCGAACAATGTTCACATCATCGCACGCCCTGGTTTTTTATCTCAGCGCGATCAATATCAACAACTATTCAAACCTATTAAAAGTTAGCTATATACCTGAAAGTAGAAAGAAATCTTACAACAGCCACCACAACTTTTCGTACTTCATTTTATTTCACAATACAATTGTGCGTGTGAGCAAATTCCACCCCTCGGCCCTTATCGGGGACGCTCGGCGCTTTTCGGGTCTGTAAGCGCGCTGTAGTTGATATCAGGCCGTAGTCGCGGCCGGACAGAGGCACCGCTGTAGTCGGCAAAATGCCAACCCGAGCTGAAACGTTACGAAGTCGCGGGAGACGTGTCGGCATGGATCATACTAGTGATGTACTTATCGTAATTTTATATTAATTTTATCACTTATTATTAGAATCAGCGATAATTCATCAGAATAATTTGAAAATATTTGAATTTATTCAGAAACAAATTTTTCATCGGACACCATTTTTAAGTACCTACCTACTTTTAATGTAGAGGTTATTATTTTGTTATTGTTTTCTGTAGATACTTTGCCTGGAACGACACATGGCCTCTCGCGGTTGTCGCTATCTGCAGCAGCATCCTTGGCGCGCTCGTAACGTTTGTTTGACAAGCGTAAGCACACACGCACCAATGAGGAAGGTGGGGCTGCTGAACCTTGGCAATACATGCTACATGAACAGCGTCATGCAAGCTCTGCTCGTCACCAGGCAGTAAGTACTTGATTTTGTTTGATCATTGATTTACCTTAAGGTGGTATGATATACTGCGTCCTCCAATATCTAAGCTTACTTTGTTATCTAAAAGTAATACTTAGTACAAAGTGTTTTAAATTCACCAACAAACTTACTCCGTTAACGTGGGGCTACGAGTTACACTTTTAAAGCCAATACAAATAGCTGTCTCTCTACATTTAAACATGAAACAGATTGTGAATAATACAATGTCCATATTTAATATCGAACAGAGTGATTTCCATTAATTCCGAAGGCTTTTATTAAAATGTATGCTTCACGTTACTATTTTGCTTTTTCAACGAAACAATCAGTTCAAAAACATTAATAATTAATTCAAGTGGACAATACACATATTCGACAAACAATGTAATTCCAAGCTCGACTATTTTATATGATAATTATTTATCGTTCCTCAATAACGTGCTTAATATCTGTACTTACCGAGCTTCAACTGTAGCCAGATTATTACCGAAATTACCGCATTTTCATCTGCTATTGCATTTATAATGTTTTCTGTCTATAACAATGTACTTTGCCAGAGCGAATTATTCTCTATTTATATCTACATATGATAGCGAAGTTTTGTGAAGCAATCAATAACTGCAACAAGCCATCTTGTATCCGATATTAATTAACACATACCTCTACTGAGCTTTTCGGCTAATGGGAACACGTCTGTTAATTTGAACTTACCTACACATTTGATCCCAAGTCCTTTTATAACGTTTTTATTTCCTTCTTGGCTATCACAAAGTATATTTCACAGACATGATGTTATACACAAACATTTTTACGTAATTATGAGTGCACTAGTGGTCCTAACGTGCTAAGTAGGTAGACGGGAACCCCTCGACCTCGCGGCATTTATTGAATGTAAGTGATGACTGATTCGTTCGGAGTACCTAAGTACCACAGCTGAGTTCGAACTATAGGGTTAAATTAAACTTTGCGATTGTTAACATGGTACAAATTTAGTTTTCTACATCTTAAGCATCAAATGCAGCTTCGAGTTCTTGTAACATTTCTTCGTATTTCGCAACACACAAAAAAAAACTGTTAAACAATTGACACCAAATATTCGATTTTGCAATTCTTATCGAGAGTCGAAGGTTTGTCGCTCTGTGATTGATATTCCTGTGCATTTATAAATGTTTGTTGGCGTCATCTCCCCGTCCGTTTATGTAAAACTGACTGTCCTCTTTGCCCGCATAGTAAAGAGTAGGTCCAGAACGCCATTGTCCACTGTTTTCAAACAAAACGGCTTGTTTTGATTGGTAGAGTTTGCGTTCCACAAATACATACATTATTTGTAAAAAAAAGTATAGGTAAATGTAATCCATATTATGTTCCGAAGAAACCTGAATATGTTTTATAAATCACCTAAAACAACTTTAGGTCAGAGAAAGTGCTTTACTTAAAAAGATATTAAATTTAAATTTGTAATCTGTTCTTACTCAGACCTAAACATAAAAAAACTAAGTTCTCGGTTGTACTTATTTTCCATTGTGTTTGTGATATGTCGGCAAACGAGTAGACTCTTTACCTGATGGTAAGCTATCATCGCCGTTCATGGACGCTCACATCAACGAAGGAGTTACGAGTGCGTTGCCGACCGTTTGGGGATTTAGGGATTTGGCCTCCAGTGACCTCACTCACACGGCGAAACCCAACATGTAGTTTCACGCCGTTTTTCTGTGAGGCCGTGGTATCACTCCGACCGTCCCGAAGCATGGCTATCCCACACTAACTTATAACGTTAATTGTTATTTATTTTCCAAAACCATAACTTTGTCCTTACAATAATATTTTGTTATCACTTACCCATTTTTATGTAATGTGGCTAGACTATACCGCTCATATACTTTATTTTGCATTGATCAAGTAATTCCTTATTATTTTAAAAATATATTATTATCTAATATTATTCCTTGATCTCTCTGACGGAACTATTTCGTTCGTTGACAGCTGGGTGGATGTTTCCTTTTCATGCCCTGTCAACATCCCTATTCAAATCTTCAAAGTAATGACAATGAGAATGTCAAACAAAACAGATAAATCCAAAATCTATATCAGAGGCGGACACAACCTGAATACTTACTTCGATTTACCCTTCTTACATAGTCATAGACAACAAGGTAGTGGCGTTACAAGACAACCTTGAATGAAAAAAAAAACAAGAATGGAATATTTTTAACACTTTTTTTATTAAAACTTTCAATAGTAAAGAGTTCAGATATAATAAAACACTATATAAAACAATACACAAGAATAAGTATTAGTACCTATACGTTTATGAAAATAAAGCGACTTTAAGTTACAAGTTGATATACATATTGTAGCATTTTAACACAATCTATTTATAGTATTTAATAGTGAAACTCGAACGAGTCTTCAGGATAATACGGATCGGGAATCTATGGACTAATTAGTAGTCTGCCGTTTATTTTATCCACTCTAATTAACTTTGATTACATTTCCATGTTATATTTAATGTTCTTCGGCCTTTTTCCAATTATGAAATTGTAATGATGAACTATAAACGGATAAATCTCGCAGTAATAGACTTTGTTCTTAATTGGTCCATGGAAATATTTAAATCAATCCGCCAGTCAATATTAAAACATAATGTCCATATGACAAAGCGTCCTGAAACGAAATAGCTGTCGGAGGATTTCCGAATAAATGCATTGCTCACATTTACCGCGATGGCTTTGCAACATGGAAATAGTTTTTAAATCCTTTAAATGTATTTTTCAACTGCGAAAGGTTTTTATTTTGCTTCCAGCGAGTATTTTTGTTTTGTAATTACTTCTGTTTTGCTAAATTACTGTTTTTATTTATATGTTTTTTCCTATATTCCTCTTGTGTTTACCCATAATTGTTTTAAATAACAGACAATGGCTGAGACAAATATCAATTAAAACATTTTTTTTCGTTCCACTAAAGAAAGTAAAGACTCCTTACTGGCGATAATAAAAAGTCACCCTACGTACAAAACGGTTATGTAACTTAAATTACATAATTTTTATTTTCGTTAAACCTAAGGAAAGGCGGAAATAAAATTGTATGACACAACATTATAAATGAGTACGCTGTAAGGATGTATTAATGCTATACATTATTTTGTCTGCAGATTTAGCACTCACGTCGTCTTGAAGATGACCGCCGTACCTTACTGGGCAAAGATGGGCATCTTATTTGGAAAAATGATGCACTCCATCACGACAAAGCTTAACCCGGATGAGTTCTTCGCAGTGGTGAAGCCACCGTTCTTCACCAGGGACAATCAACATGACAGCTCCGAGTTTTTGGGGTAAGATTGACATTACCATATCATAATTTCAGGTCAGTGTCACGCATTGCTGAGAATGGACTTTTCTCTTTTTCTGCCATAGTTATCAGTTTTATGGATCCCTCATCTAACTACAGCAGTTCTGTTGCATCATTTCAATGCCTTTTTGGATGACCTAAACCACCAGTGCTCAAGTCTCTATCTATACTAATATAGTAAAATTTGTAAGTTTGCATGTAGGGGGTAATCTTTGAAACCGCTAGTCAGCGTGTCTTTTCACTTCACTGATAGATAGCTACAATATCAATAACGTCGCTACGATCAAATGGACCCGAGCAGCGGGTGAAACCGCGCGAGAGTAGCTAGTTCTATATATTTACGGAAAGCTGTCGAAAATAGATAACATAATTTTGTTTCATTATGTCCCTTTGTATACAAGCATGTTCTTTGAGCATACTACAGTATCGTAGCTTAAGTAACATCGCGTAGGCGGCAAGTGGGCGTAGAAAAGACCTTCATAATACTAGGAAAGTCCTTTCGCTACTGATCTGTCGGTAATTGGAAAAACCTGTCTTTAAGTTTAATTGCTTGGCCAATGAAAAATCGATGCCATTTTTTATAAGGCTAAAATGTGCTGTCGACTCTTATTTACGGTTTGGAAGTTATTGTGAAATGTCTGTAGTTACGATATTTTTACATTAATCGCCGCTACATCAAGCTTTCTCCTATCTGTCAAATATTGATTTCATCTCTAAGCCATTTCTTAGGGTCAATTTTCACAGTTGTATTAAGTACGACAATATATAGCCTATTTAGTATTAAGTCTTCACATAAAATGTATAAAACTATTCATCATATTATATTCATAATTTTTAGTTTTTGTTATTGTTGAGTTGTCTAGACTTTATTAAGGCTCTTAGTTCATTAATCCTTCATAGATACCAACATATAACACAAGCGCATAGAGATTTTACAAACATGCAAGTAAATGCGTAACGTCTAAAAAATATCTGGTTGCAGTATTGCCACGTAGTTGACAACAAAGACGTTCTCGAATGCGAATAAAAATTTAAAATTGAAATTCGAATAAAATATACGCGCTGCAACCGTTGATCCTCCAGTGTCCTCCAAAATACTTGCAACGCTTTCAGAATTATTGTGAAATATATCTGACGTGCTCTTATACAGGTATACACGAGTGGGAGTAAACTGAACTCTTCCTTTATGGATATTTTACAAAGAGTTTTCCTCTCTTATTTTTCTTCTCTTTTTTCTGTACACTAAACAAGAAATAAAAATGTTGTTTTAACGAATTAAAATCCTTTTCTACATCATCATTTCGCATAAAATATATTCAAACTAATATAAAAAAGACATTTATGAAAAGGAACTTGTTTTCATCGTAATATCCCTATTCCTATTCCATAACTTGAAGTGAAAGAATCCTTATGACAGGTCTGGTTAGTTTCGAAGTTCTTTTCATTTATTTGTTTTAAACCGACGCACGTTAGTGGAACTAAAATCTGTTCTCAAGTGGAATAGGCATGGCATTTTTAATTTCCAGGCATTTCTGTTCCGTTTCCTAACTTTAATACGGTGAAAGCACAAGTAAGTTTTCAAGCGACAGAGTTAATTCACTTGACGTTAACACAAAATATTTTGAAGTTCAGGCAGGTATACTCGTAGAGGCATGTGATAAACAGTAATCCGGCTTTAACAAATGTTAATGTCTCACTGACCTATTTACTTCTGTAACACAAAAATTTAAAAGATGATAGGTACTTTAACTTTTTAAACTGGAAGATGAATTATGGGTGCTGTATTTTCAAGTTATAACTCTCAGTACTACAATAAGGTCCTGACATTTTGTTGTCTATCAGTAGGTACTATGCAAGCTTTGATTGTTTCTGAGCGGTGCATTGTTAGCTAGTCGGAGACGGTTCATTTTCTTGTCAAAGGGTATTTCCTGCTAACGACAAGCAACAAACACGCCGTCCTCTATAACAAGACTATACACTACACTGCAGACTGAAACCATTGCTCTAATGTAGCATTGTACCTGGCACTACTAATTAAGACGAACTAATTAGCGCGAGGTTTCTTAGGCAGCCCTAAAATGTCGTTAGAACGTGGTTCTTAGATATTTATTCATGTATGTGAATGAAAATATAATATTATTCTACTACGACTATAATTAGCTGCCTTATAATATCCTCGCGTGTTTAAATAAATACGCGAGGTTATTATTGGGTGAAATAAATATTCCACCATATTATTTAGAAAGGTTCTAAACTCTCGATAAATTTCGCATTACTCTTCAGATTCTTCGTATTAAGAACAAGTTCAAAACAACTGTCAGTAATGCGAAAAGTTAAAATCTCACCCGGCAAGTGAGACTTCAATTAGAGAAATATAAAAATGCCTCGTTAAAGTTTCTGTTGAAAATTCTTATGAATGCAATACAGCTTCAATGTAGATACTAATAAAAAAGAGAATATTCAATATTCAATTTTAATTTTACATGAATAACACAGAACTTCAAATTTTCCAACCTTTACTCGCAATGGACCCCAGATTATTCTGGCCATTGTCTAAATGTTATAGGTTGTACAAATCGTTTTGAATATATCGCATTTTCCCGGTTCGACCAACAGTTGCCGAGATTGATCTGTAGGTGAATGACCGTACTCAACATGTCGAAATCTATCCCAAGTTGACGAAATGTTGTTGAACCCTCAGTACTTGTAAAATGTATCTCGTAACGTAAACGTATGTAAGCACAATATGTATATCAGAATTAAATTATATTAAGGTGTTTATCTAAAACTAAAATAAAAAAATTTTTTCAAAGTAAATCCCTATAAGATAAACAACCATGTTATCGAATAGTTTCTCTTTTGGAGATTGGGACATTCACATTATTTGCGAACACATTATCTAATATTTATTTATGATGGTGAATTTGTCTGTACTACCGCCCTTCACGCGCAAGTATGTCCACTTGTCAGTCTTAGTAAAATGCCAAAGCTCCAATTTATACGCCTACTTTAAAAAAAATCTTTATTTAGAACCTTCTCCTGGCCGTAGCAAACGCATCATAAAAATAATCAAATCGGTCTGGACGTTTACGCGTTAAACCAAGGAAAGTTGGGATAAAGATAAGTAACAGAAATTTCCGGGCTGGAGGTATCAAAGTCGTAGTAGTTCGAATCAACCCAGGAAGAAAACATCAAGTTCAGCGCTTCATAAGTTTTATCTTAGAGTGGAAATTCAAGTCAGAGTCAATATGAAGTTACTGAATGCAAATACTATTATATAATTATATACGTACTTATTCAAGTAATGTATTCGTACCTTTATACAGTCGCGTGCATAGGACGTACCGGGCGAACATGCGCACTACTGTTGGAAACTGTTTGACCTATTTCCCGAAGTAAATACTTTAGCCAGAGTCTATAGATTACGTTTGTATAGATTATATGATTGTATTTCCAGAAATATTTATCCGTTCTTTTTAAACCCATGACTTCTGACTATTTTGATAACTAATCTAAGAGCTAATAAGGAAACAGAAGCCAAAGCCAGTCCTAAAAGCCCGTTCAAATGTATTTTCGTTCTATTTCAAAGTTATTAGAAACGTAGGTATTGACAGGTTAACTTTCAGCTTGAAATGTCAAAGTTCTTCGAATTTACTTGTAAAGTTGGGAGAACACTGAAGATTGTCATCTAGGAATCACACTGCATAAGTTGAGGGATATTCTATATTTATAGATTCCCACAATTTATTTTGACTCATTTTTCGTAAGCACTGGTAGCAATGATCACGTACGTTTATACATGTATATAACAGCGAACGGTTTACAAGCTGGTTGAGAGGTGGCATAACAATACCGCCAATTTCAAGATTTCAGCCAGTAATTCCTTTACCGCGATCTGTTGTTATTTAAACAACGCTTTGACTAATAAAGCAGTATTGAACTTCACACATTTCATCCCCGAGGCAAGAAATTCTCTTGTGTTTCATTATAATATTCCAGAATGTTATGCTTAAGATGTGTTAAGTACATAAGATAACAGTTAATACTTTGAGTTTTTTCTGTTCTACAGAAATTAGATACGTTTGTAACGAAAACTTTCATAACAAACTTTTCTTTTTTAAAAGGGAGTGCGCATTCCTGGTTTCGCTTTTCGAAGCATATGGTCACTGAAACAAATCTATAATGAGTTATTATTAAAAAAATGTTTTAGCGTAAATTCATTTAGAATATATGTGGGGTTTTTATTGTTAATAATTTTAATATTTACCATTATATCTTGGTTCCGGTGTAGTTCGTTATCAGAGTCGATCGTCTTTATTATATTATTATATAATAATAAAGAACAAAGTCCAAAAGTTGGACCCGGTTACGTCCTTAAACTGCGACTATACGCTGAGGAGTGGGTAGCGGCATTTCATCCATATATCGGTGACCTACTGCGATCCCCAAGCCGCCTGTCAAGCGTGGGGAAACCTCCGACAAACTTTGGCAACACACAACATCCGCATATTGAAGCCCGATTGATAGATACGATAGATGGAGGCCTGGGCTGGCCCTGGAGGAAGAATTGAGCGAAATGTGTTGGGACATTTTGGGACTAACTGAAATCCGAAGAGAGGCCCAGGATACTACAGTCCTGGATTCCGACATGCTCCTCTTCTGGGAAGGAAAGCGGAAATCCCAGGGTGGGGTCGGATTTATCATGCACAAGTCCAGGCTAAAATTTTACTATATTGTCCAATGTCCATGTTCTATTGTTGTTTATTCTTTTAAAATAAGTTCACGTCACTAAATTTGATTTTAATTCTACGTCTTTGAAAGAGTTCATATTCATGTTGCTTTGCCGCCTCAAATTTCAAAATCAGACTGCTCGCGCTATTCTGATAAGTTGTCGAGTCTGTCGTGGCTATTTTTTGTGTAAGTTTTCGCAAGAAGTATTAATTTTTTAATAAATACGGATATAAAGTAGCCTAGAATGAAAAAAAAATATTTATTGAACTTTTTGATAAGGAATCCGGGTATGTTCGGAAATGGATCCTTGCCAGACCGCTGCATCATGTGTTGATCCAGGAGGAAAAGCGGCAATAAAATGAATAATTTCCATCTTTACATTATTCACAAATATTAAAAATTTAAATTGAGACTCTAAAGGCTTCAATAAAACAATTATAATTGCATCAGCAACTTCTTGTAAGCATTTGCTTACAGATGGCTGACTTAAACCTAAATACAGTTCCTTCTCTACCGTTGTTTGGTAGCCGCCAGGTCCAAAGAAATGAAGTGAAGACAAAACTTTGATATGCACAAGCATTCCGTGCTGTCTTTGTCGAATTAAATTTTGGTGTAGACATTCCACTAAAATATACGTAGCGTACCAAATTATACAGGCTCTTCAAAAGAATTGAAGAGTCTGTATAATTTGGTAAGAACCTCTGCAGACACGTCGAAAGGGTTGGAATGGTCCCGAGAATATGGCGATGCGCTATCCTTCTCGCAGCACTACAATAAAAAAAGTTAGGTTATGTTATGTTTATACCATAAACAAGAACACCAGTTTCTATACTATAAATTGTGTACTCATACCGTTGCGTTCCTATTAACAAAATATTTTTCACTATTTTCTGAAGATACTTAGCTTACGTACGGAATGATGCGAACTTAAAGAACACTTCCTAAAGTTCACTTAAAGCCAACGAAGTGTCAAATCGTCGGAAACGGAATAGCTTAAGACATGCGTAGACATAATTTAAGTCCAAATTCGACATAAATAGCGTTGTAGACATAATTAATTGGCTACCGTAAGCGCGGGTCTGCGGTCGGCGAGTAAGGGCAGCTCGCCGCCCGACCAGACCCAGGCCCGAGCGTACGGCGCGTAGCGTTCCGCGCGCGCCTCAAAGAGCCAATAGACCACCACAGACGGGGCCCTATAGGGCTGATGTTCAGCCGGGGTTGCGGGGTAAGCGCAATAAGGCACCGCGACATCTGCCCAGAGCAGGAGAAGGAACAGAGGGGTTTTTAGTCAGTAAGAGTCTGAAACTCTCTCTCGCCCGGCCCTGGGCGGGAGAAGTCATTACACGACTTTCCCCTCACAAAAAAAGACATAATTAATTAATAAACGCAATAGCAATAATATTAGTCCGAATTTTAAACTAATTTAAGTCTATTATTCGGCATTAAGTGCGCCGAAGAAACGCAATTAGTCCTTTTAAATGTCAACCATAATTTGTGTCCAATTTTCACTAATATACGCCAAAAAAAGCGCAACCAAGTGCCAACCACAAGGAAAACATGAAACAAAGAAATCTTACACAATAATCGTAACCTTTCAAATGCGGTAATGTAATTCACGAAAATGAACGCATTTGAACTTTGTTACGATTAAGGATTTTAGGAAAAGTCACGTGTATAATAATGTTTAAATATAAATTTCTGAGCTCAGTGTGCACCATTCGGGATACTTTTTAACAAAGGAAATATCTTCCGTATATCGCGGAACAGCGGAAACCACGTTTTCGTGCGCGAACAGTATTTCAGAAAGATTTTCTATTTTTTTTTTTATTAGTTACGTATCGTTTTCTACATCTTTACGTCATGGTTTGGAAACCAGGAAACACAAGCACGTGACCGACCAAAAATTAGCGATCACGTAATACTGCGCCATGAAGTTAAAATGTGTATCCTTACAAATAATTTTTAACCTTTTTATAATGATCTGGACTCACAATAGTGATCGGAATACCGTTTAAGAAGATCCTCCATTAATAAGGACTATCTTTTTGGGCACACTGCTTGGTATTTACATCGTAGGCCATCATAAACCACCACGCGAATTAGCATACAAACGAAAACAAAAAATGTATGACGCTATCATATTCTTTATTAGACAACTAACTATTACTACTACGCGGTTTCACCCGTTGCTCGGCTCCATTTAATAGCGTGATGTTTTATAGCCTATAGCACTCAGGAACATTGTAGTATCAGTGAAAGAATTTTGGCAATCCGACAAGCGGTTCCAAATATTACCCCCTACATACAAACACTCCTTGCGGACTATTTAGAAGTGGTAACCCTTGTTTAGGTTCCTCTAAACTTTAGAGGAACCCTAAAACTGAAAGGAAATATGCAATTCTTATAATTATACACACATCGTTATCCATTGGACGTCTTTTTTTCCAAAGATATCTAAAAGCTATACCTATTCTACTTAACGCGAAGTAAGTCGAAGGTCCGATTATGGAAATGGATTACCTCATGAATTGAAAAAAAAGAGTTTTGTTTTGTAAAAATATTTTATTGTTATTTATTTCCGCTATATCAAGGCTTTTTCTGTGGCATTGGATTATATTATGTAATATGTATGTATTCGCAATGTTTTATTCCCATCATATCGAAGTCTAAGTATATTTGTTTTGCTTGAAAGTGGTGTATTTATTGCTAAAAATACGTTTTTCTTTATCATCAGGTACTTATTTGAGCTTCTGCAGTCCTATGAGCACTGCTCTGATTTGAACTTCGATTATTCCCGCCCGGCTGTGTTGTCAAGCCATAGTCGCCTGCGCATAGTGTCGCAAACATCTCAGCAGGCTACACAGTCTACGAGGTAAGTCTGGTCATCCAAAATAGAAATCTATGAATGAATTCGATTTTCAAATCAAATCAAACTACTGTTTTTTGTCTTATTTGTATGAGTCATCTATTTTCAATACGCAAGTACTTGATAATATCATATTATGTAACATATCAATCAGTCTACAAAGACTTCCAATTGGCGACACGAAGTTCTCATGAAATAAAATTAGCACGACAGGAATATAGCTAATGGTCGGTCAATTGTCGCTGTGTTTAAGTGTTGTTGATACAACAAGTGACGGAATAGGAGTATAAATTGTCCCTCGTTATGCCTTGTATAATGTATTGCAAAGCGTATAAAGTATTGAGGAAGCATTGTTCTATTATGCACATCAATATGTACACAATATTCAGAAACGCGAATACCTAATATAAAGCTGTTTAAGATGTAGTTAATGTTAAAATGCATTTTACAAATCGATTATTTGTAAAATGTAGCACACATCCTAATATCCTATTTGCTTTAATGATTAGACTTAGGTAGCAATTCTTATGACACATTTTATAATTAACTTAGATAAGGATAATTTGAATTACACTAATATTGAGCAGATGTCGAGCTAGCGCCTATCTAATGTCAATTTATAGGTATATTCAAGTTATTTATTTTTATCTTTACAGTACTGAGGTCAACGACAACAACAATGGAGAGCCCGGACCCAACCGCCGTTCGGTATCACCACGCCCGAGTAGCAGCGCTGCTGGTAAGCTTCCTGAATACAACCTTTTTTATTTACCAAACATATTTGAACTACACAAACACAAACAATATTAGTACCAGTTATTTCAGGAGGCATAGATACAAAACCTGAACTTATTTGAATAATGAATAGGTGTTTACTGATAGCCGTAATATATAGCCTAGACTTTAATGTGTTAAAAGAAATAAGGATCTATATATATAACAATAACACACCAGTTCATTCAAGACTTTTTATTCACAACAGTCATAAACTGTTGTGAATACTTAGCTTTATTAGCGCATTGTGCTCCCTGAATGTGGTAGTCTATATAATATATTCATGCAATGAGATAATCAAAGTCATATTTAACTCGGCATTATGTAAAAATTGTTCTTAATAATATTGTATTATACAATGATTCGTTTCAAACAACATATTCCGAAATCTGTTCGAATCATTTATAATCTCAAAATAGCCGGTAGAAAGCCGGTACCTATTACCCTAAATTTATTAAGAGCTCCAAAGGAGATGAGGTCTTTGAATAACATAACTTATTCAATATGTAAAAACTATGAGTTTTGCATTTGTAAAAATAGACGGAAATCAATATTTTAAAGGGTAAAGGGGAATGAAGTTGTCGCGTTTCCCTATATGTCCTGTACGCCTGCGCCATCGGAATCTGACGTCAAATAGATAGTAGTTGTGTATTGACAATTACTCTCATAATATCCGATTCCTCGCATATATAAGCAGATGGGAATGCTTCAATATTTAAAGGATTTAAGTGTTTTATTTGAAGACTAGGGTACTATTGTTCCGCTACACGTGCGCTATGCGTATTGAGATAGATGACCTCGACCGATATCGTGCGGCGAGCCTGGCAACATTATTATTCCTAGTTTTTTGTTGATTATTTTCAATGAGGACTATCGCGCAGATTTGATGGTAGGTGCGCTAAGGGAACTTTACCAAATGAATTACTCAAGAAACATTTTACTAGTGCCCTGTCCATTAAACATATTTTTTGACAGCTAGTTATTAGCTAAGAATAATTACACTTAGCACAAAATGCTATTTGACAATTATTAAACATTAAACAAATAAGAAAAAAAAAATACATCTACTACTAGCTTATTTTGGTAATTTCTTATTAAAATTGCATATCATTTGAAATTTATGCATACTTAATAAGAAGTTATCGTTTATAACTTATGAGATATCGAACTTATTCATCAGGAGCAAAGTATTTAATACTTCTTTAGTAAAAAAAAATGAAAATAAGCGGCTTTAAATACCCCTGTAAAAGATACAATTGCCCCACTTACACACTTACACTTTAGGGAAAATTTAATGCAATGGCAGTATATACAAGAATGTTATGCACACATAAATTTGAATCTTGCTTCAGTTTTGAAGACAACTATCGTTCTAGGTGTAATTATCCTAAGGTTATTAGGTAAAACAGACCTAACTCTAAATAGGCGCCACCTAGTGAGCACAACAACAGTGAACATGCATGCGCTGTTTATGTAACAACGGACGATCTCGTTTACGGTGGACAACATTTTCACAGCCAGATAATATATTTCATTCTGAATGTTTTCCTCCATCTTGTAGGCATATCTCAACTTCTGACCTCATCAATCAATTCATTTTAGTTCATTGTATTTAAAATAAGGTAAGAAAAAATTATACAGGATTCATGATTAATATTCGATCAACCTACATGATGGAGTCTGGCTCTCTGTGATAGCTAACAAAACTTTGAGGTAACAGACTTTCATAATAAAATAAAATAAATAAAAATGTTTGTTTCATCAACTTATGCATATTACAAAAAACCACACTTGGAATCACCTTTTAAGCAAAGTTATGCTTGTGTTAGGTTGATTCGCTCTTCCAGTTTACAGTAGCTAAGTACATAAAGATGCGCGCGCTCGCGTCTGTTTGTGTGTGTGTGTGTTTCATATATTGTACAGTTACAATAAATTTAGCACTTAGGAGAGATTTGCAAGCATAATATTTAAATGGAAATCAATGATGATGCTATTCGCTTTGCGCAATGTTACTTAGTTTGTGCAAGACATTTGACCTGCATTGTTAAAGAAGACGTTTCAATGAAAGATGGAAGATATGATATTAGCATAACACAGGGAATACCGGACGAATATAGCTCAACTCTTCAGTCTGTTATTGTAGGATGCAGGTTGACCTTTTGGTATAACAGTATTTCACGTCGCATGCCGACATTTTAAAAAGGCCTTCATATTATCTCACTTCATGGCGATTCATCAATAATTTATAGGGATAATTTCACAATGCCACATTAATATAAATAGTCCGTATAACTATTATGCACCAGGTAAAATTTTGACCATAGATCCCACGCACGCACAAGTAAAACTATTGTTGTTCTCATCTATAGTTGTTTCGGCCATACTGTGATAAATATAATAAAAGTTTTCTTACTCGCGTTCCTAATCAAGATTTTGTATTTTCCAGGATCGAGTACCAGTGCCCACAAGCGCACCAGTACAGAGCTGGAGAGCGTGCCTCCAAAAAAGCGCCTTCGAATGTATGAGTCCGCGTTCCTTAGACGCGACTCATTCATCGATAGCATGTTTGGCGGAGTGTTGCTCACACGAGTGGAATGCACCGAGTGCCACTCATCATCATTGTCGCGCGACGTGTTCCGCGACTTACAACTGGCGTTCCCGGACAAACCAGAGGGTTGGCAACACAATGTCCAGAGCCTGCTCGAATATTACTGCTCCAAAGAGAGTCTTACAGGGGAGAACCAGTACCAGTGCCGTGACTGCGGAGTGCTCCGTGATGCTGAAAGAAGTGTGCTCATAGAAACTACTCCAAAGTACCTGATTCTCGTGCTCAAGAATTTTAAGTAAGTACTTACTTCGGAAATCTGTTTCTTTTACTCAAAATCAATAAGTCTGATACTTTTATTTAAAAAAATATTTATTTCTCTGAGAACTAAAAAATAGAACATAAATATGATAATGAAATTTTCGTCAACAGATTCGACCCGAAGCTCCAGGTACAGACGAAACTGATGCACTCGATGTACCACAACCACACCATCACGCTGCCGACTGTCCGATCTCAGGCTGTACACGCTTCCTACACCTTATACGCGGCCGTCATTCACGCTGGCACAACTCTCGATTCGGGCCACTATTATACGCTGGCTAAAGATAACGACCAGTGGAATATGTACAACGACGATGTTGTAACGTCGTCCGATGAAGGACAATTAAATGGTCTGAATCGCTCGAGTACGCCCTACATCCTGTTCTACAGACGTACTGATATTGAAGAGGGCACAGCTCCCTCTATGGAAGAGCTTCCTCCTAAAGTTCAGGAGACTGTGATGTCTCACAACAAACAGTACGTCGAGACTGTCCGGAAAATGCGTCTGGCGCGTCCATGACAGTTAAGGTCCGACAAACACATCGATTTCTCGGTGTTGGATAACGGTGTTTCCGAATAGGAGAATACCGAGCTTTTTTAGATATAGAAGACAAACCTGCGAGGCGAATTTACATTTTATCATCAATTTTATCATCTTACAATAACATGGACTCTAGAAGTGAACTATATATGTTACGGTCGTTGCAAAGCAGTGGCGGTTAAGATCACGTCACAAACCAAAAACATTTTGAGAATATAGGAAATTGTGCATCCAGCTCCGCCTATTTTGCTATTCTGGCTGACAGTCTCCCTCTGTGCTTTGTAATGACTATAAGGAAAGACGAAGCTTCGTCATCGCAACAACAAACTGAATGCAGATAGAACGTGACGACTATTTGTACGTGATCGCGATGACAGGTTTTTTTCTAAATTCCTCGACAGGAATGAATTCTATACATAAATATCTGCTTACACCCGTATATATTAGTGAGTGTTGAGTATTTGCTGGTTATTCCAAGAGAAATATATTATGTGCTGTAAAATAGAGAGAAGTGATTAAATATTTATATTTTAAATCTCTAATGTCCTATAATTCGTTCTAGAAGAACTATTTACTGTAAAATCTAAGTCAAGAGACTGGATTGCTCTTGTGAGAGACTTTATATGTATATAAAACAGTTATATCTAATTGTATTATTTACATAACGTGTTGTGCTACTCGAAGGCATGTGCATGACATTATATTATTTAAATTATTATTTTTTATTTTTACCTTAGCGCCGTGTTTGTGTGCGTCGTCCTTATTGGCAGGTCACTAAACACTACCAATTTGATATGATGTAGACAAGATAATAAAATATAAGCATGTAACATGGATTTACAATCCTACGAAACATTCAAGGGGACATTGAATGCACCCTAGGGCTTGAGAAACAAATATCATGCAGTCTTTTTACAATATCTTTAGACCGTAACATATATACATAAAACATTACATTAAATTCTGTATTATCGTTTTTGTACCTATATATACATAAGTCCACCATGTTAACATTAGTCTTTAAAATTATCATCTGCGACATTTTGCAATAAATCTCGTTATTTTTATAAAAGTTATGAATGTTAGAATAATTTTAAAATGATATTATAGATATCTATTCGTGTTGATATTGCATAATATATTCATTTTAAAATCATTAAATTTTATCAATATAATGTGTGTTATTGGTAGTATTAAATAAATGGAAAGATTTCAGTGAATACAGAAAAATATTCATATTAAGATTATCGTATTATAACCTTAGATTAAGTAGATAAAAGAAGACGCAGGGAAGGCGCTGCGGTCCCTAGTGCTAGATTTTTAATGTTATCACATTATAATATAGTAACGTAATTTTGAATACATCTGCATGTTCCGTGTTTTAATAGTATCCAATCGCTGAAATCCTCCATTCTTATTAAATCATCTTATTAATGTGTAAGTGACGAGATTTCTTGCAAATGTCTAGCAAAGTTACTTGGCCATTTATTTTATTATATTAAAAAACTTATCATCGGCTAACAGTTTCCAATGAAGTTTGGTTTAAAAACATTTTGAATGTTAACCAGTTAAAAATTAATTGGCATACAAGTACTATTTTGACTTTTAGTTAAGTTGCATAAAGTGCCAATTTTTCAAAATTGTTATTACCATTCTATTTTTTTTACTATTCATAATATTGAAAGTCAAAATATTTTCGTATTCGTGGAGCGTCATTTTCATATAAATTCACGGTTTTTCAAGTGTTTTTATCGTATTTTCCGACACTCGTCATAAATTAAGCAAATTGTATATGAATAATGATATAATGACGTAGTTGCATATACTTCCTCCGTGCATTGGCGCTCTATGTTACCGTATTTTATACATTATATATTGTTATACATTCTGACAACACTGTCTTAGTGTACTATCCTACGTGTCTCAGATAGATGTATTAATGTTATACAAAATAATGTAAGCTCGAGTTTTATGTGCATTTGCATATATTAATGTATTTTACAATCAAACTGTCGTTTACTAACCCATCTATTCCATAAATGAATTTGTTGCCTGTGGAATTGTATCTTGTTTCACTTGAATGTCTATGTTAACAGTATCAATACGTTCTATAGTACGGTGGAAGGCAATAAGACGTCTAAGTATAATTATAATATATTGTTGATTATTCAATATTATTATTATTATATTTAATAAACCATGCCCAAAGCCCGTGGGCATAATGGCAACATTTTTTAACGTAATGTACATTGTCGTGTCAACAAAACTGTTAACATACATTTCAATATTTATATTAGTACGGATAAAACATTTTTTCATCTGTTTGCAAGTTTTTAACAACTACTTAGGTATGTATGCATTAAACCAATTTGTCAATTGTTTTAACGTTTATATTATTTTCATTTATTATTATGATGTTACTGCGGCCAAGTCACGGTTGTTGAGAAAGTCCCTTCTCAATAGTATTAATCATTGTAAATATTATTTTAATTTCGTTTTATATTTTTACAGTCTGTAAATTTGGAAGTTGTTGTTCTCTATATATTTGTTCTAAGGTATACTGTGTTATTGTGGAGGATTTTGGAATGGTTTGTCACACAATTGTTCGATAAAACATCCCCCGTTAATGTAGTTAGGCCTTGGACATCCAGTATGTATAGCGATTTACACTTGTTCAACCTAGTATGTAATTTGAAAGTTGCATGGTTGTAACAATCTTGACTTGGCTGGGTTTATTTACATATGTTATAATTATGAATTGTTTAGTTTATTCCTCTATGTAAATAATTAAAGCATTTAAAATATAAGATAGATATTCTCCATGGTAAACCTAGAATAATTAGGTATATGTTATTGTTCGGGGCGTAGCATCGGTCCCCTAATACATCACTTTAATTTATAATTAGAAACACATATTATTGTAAAATCGGTTTTTGGTTTAAAATAATAAAATAAACGTTAAAAAATTTTGGTAACCTTTTTAACTGTCCTGCGAATTTTATAAAAATATATAAATGGCTGTGTATTGACATTTTACAGTGAAATCTTAATATCTTCACTTCATAATAATTATTGTTTACTATATTTGTTGTGACAAAAACAGTGTTTATAAAGACGTGAGTTGGGACATTTAGGTACTACAAAGTGGCTATTTTCTTACAAGCAGTACCAACGTTGTTCATCTTTATGGAAGCTGTTTCATCACATAGCAACATTGCCCCTGTAATATGCATTTACTAGAGATTGGTATTGAACCAATGGGTGGTATTAAACTTTGACAAAATAAGTGGTGTCACTTTTTTGTGGCATTTTGTGTCTAGAATTTATCTCCGGCCATGGGCGGGAGAAGTAATCTGAAGACGCTAGTCTTCCTTCCTCACAAATAACAAACTAAAACAATTCCACTGCGTGAAAAATTATCGATAGAAAACAGTAATAACGTCATTTTCTATGTTAAAAATTATCTTTATACTGCATTGCTAATTATTTGCTATCTGCTAGCTGCTACAATGTTCATTTGCCAAGCGAATTCTTTTGTTAGCAATATTATTGAAGAGTTCGGCGAATGTACTTACTCCATGCCATGGCCAAGCTCGCGCCTCAAGTGAAGTGATAAAATCAAGATTACCTACATACATGGTAAATGTATTATGTTTTTAAACTGTATTAGCAGTATAACAGTTATCTATCTGCTTATCCCGATATGGGAATATAGTATTAATATCCAGTTAAGCTAGCGTTTTCTGTTTAGTTTCAAACCCAAAATTATGTTTTATTTTGTTGGGAATTTCGATGTATTTCATTGATTATGAGAATTTTAATTAAGCTATAAATATATGCTCCCGCCACTTGCTTCAATCGCTTTTGACTGCTGAATGCTAACAATTATACATAACAACAATAGTATACTACAAAAATCTATCAGTATCAATCGAGTCTTTGCAGCTAAAAGAAATTGAATTTGCCGCTCGCAAACCTTGTAACGTCACAATCACGTGTTGCCATTATAAATAAATGTCTTAAAATTTTAATTTTAAAATATACAAAACAAAGCTCGTTTTAATACTCCACTTAACTATATTTTTTATGAAACTTTTACTACAGGAATTTTATTTTGTTAGTATTCAACAGAAAATAATATGCAAATTATTAAATTGGTAGTATATAATGTTTGGTAAATGGCAACATTTTCTTAGCTGTCAAAACTTAGTCTCTAGTTTACCCACTAGATGGCATTAGGTATCTGAAGTCGTTGATTGTACAGGAGTAGATTTTAGATAGATACACCTGTTGAATTGGTGTCCGTTACCCAGGCCAGATGTTGTCGACAATGGTCATTTGAATCTTATAGATAATTAGTTGTGCGGCTTCTGTAATTGTTGCGCACATTTTTAAATTTGTTGCGCTTATAGTTTTTTAATTATTTCACAAAAACATTTCCTGCTGGCGTAACGTTACCACAGCCAGACCTTTTTCTTTCTAATGGGAATATTTAAATAAATATTAGCTATAAAATTAGTTGTCTAGATAAAGTAAATGTTGTGCCTTATTTTGTATTTGTTCTTTCTTCGGTTGCGAAGTTATTCGAGATTTTGCTGCGGTAACGTTTTTGGTTTTGCTAGATCTTTGAAATGGTTAAGCGGATTCTTATCATATTTTGTACACGACTTCCGAGGACTTAGTTTAAATTTGTTGTGCAATAACAAAACCAAAATAATGCATATTTTAAAGGTTTTTTCATTAAATAGAAAAACACTTCAATTGGCCCCAGCACTCCCAATAAGAAGTCTAAAGACTTACTTCAAACGTAATTTTAAAGCTTGTAACTGCCTTCAAATGTGTGTGAAGTTTCATTAGTATCCCGTAAGTATTTAACAAGTTATGATGATATTCAGTTCTTCACGAGCACGGTCTTAATGCACGCGGTGTTATTTGGCCACTGGATTGGATATATGAACTGAATGTTATGTCAATGATTAGTTGTTTAGATCAGTTGTATATCAGTAAAATTTCAGCTCAATACATTGGATAATTAATGAGATAATACTATGAAAGTCATTAGGAAGTGAATGACCTTGGTAAGCCGACCAAGTTTAGGTGGTTACGAAAAAGCGAAAACGCAGAACATTGTACTATCTTTTGAAATGTTTAGTATAATACACCTTACAATTTTGGTACAGACGCGTACACTGTTTAATACCTATATAATAATAATATAAAAGAAAACATTATCTTCCAGTTCCATAAAATTATCAAAAATCATCGCTAGAGCATGCCGTTCGGTAGGACGCAGGAGGAGTGGGGTGAAGGGGTAATACATTGTTTGCATAACGCACTCAGTCTTGCCAGAAGGTTACTTTTGTAACCTTTTAGATGATTTTTGAACTGCATTTTGAAATAGAAATGACAAGGACGGGTGATGTTTAATCGGTTGCTAAGCAACACGAGTTTTTATGTAAGGGAGTAAAAGTTCAATTGAAATGATTATTTTACCTTTCAATAAAAAATCTTGAATAATCATGTAGTTTTTTTTTAAACTTTTGTACATGTCTGTACTAAATTTATAACACTATCCTACATATTTTAGAAGGTACCATAATGTTCTGCGTTTTCGCTTTTTCGTAACCACCTAAACTTGGTCGGCTTACCACGGTCATTCACTTCCCAATGACTTTAATAGTATTCTCTCATTAATTATCCAATGTATTGAGCTGAAATTTTACTGATATACAACTGATCTAAACAACTAATCATTGACATAACATTCAGTTCATATATCCAATCCAGTGGCCAAATAACACCGCGTGCATTAAGACCGTGCTCGTGAAGAACTGAATATCATCATAACTTGTTAAATACTTACGGGATACTAATGAAACTTCACATACATTTGAAGGCAGTTACAAGCTTTAAAATTACGTTTGAAGTAAGTCTTTAGACTTCTTATTGGGAGTGCTGGGGCCAATTGAAGTGTTTTTCTATTTAATGAAAAAACCTTTAAAATATGCATTATTTTGGTTTTGTTATTGCACAACAAATTTAAACTAAGTCCTCGGAAGTCGTGTACAAAATATGATAAGAATCCGCTTAACCATTTCAAAGATCTAGCAAAACCAAAAACGTTACCGCAGCAAAATCTCGAATAACTTCGCAACCGAAGAAAGAACAAATACAAAATAAGGCACAACATTTACTTTATCTAGACAACTAATTTTATAGCTAACATTTATTTAAATATTCCCATTAGAAAGAAAAAGGTCTGGCTGTGGTAACGTTACGCCAGCAGGAAATGTTTTTGTGAAATAATTAAAAAACTATAAGCGCAACAAATTTAAAAATGTGCGCAACAATTACAGAAGCCGCACAACTAATTATCTATAAGATTCAAATGACCATTGTCGACAACATCTGGCCTGGGTAACGGACACGTTGAATTGGTATAAGCAGCGTTGTTGAACTGTAGGTACACTTATTGACCTTATCATCTCCATACTCATAAATACGACTACTCTGACATTCTGATTGATTTCTATATGTGTAAAAGATGTAATATAAATATAGTGGTATTTCACAATCCATTTGTAATCGTAACCAATCTTCATAGTTGAGACATCTTCATTTCGAAAGGTGGTTGGGAGTAGGTACCCAATTCTTATAGCTTACTTAAAAACGCATTATCTGCCTAATTAGGGGAATGTATAGAAAAACACAGAATTTTGTTAAAGATTATATTTACAAAAACTGATAGGTAGTTCTATCTATGTACACGTTAATTATATCTTTGCACTTTAAGTTTGTCACTTATGTTTATCTTAAAACATATTTAATATTACCTTATCACTTAACTAACCCCATTATCAATTATTTTATTATTTGTATATTTCAGGCCCATTTATATATTTTTTATAACACTAAACTTACCTACTGGTCTATTCCCTATGTTCTGACTATGATTAAAAAATGTTAATAACATTTGTTCATCATATTTAATTATGTTATATTTTATTTGTTGTTTATTACGGAAGTTTACATTCATTAAGCGAAATGGATGATTTAATTTTACGATACTGCATTTCTTTAGCCCATTTTCAAGATATAGGAAACCCAGTCGAAAGGAAAATGGATTATGAAGGTATCAATAATACATTTTTGGACAAAAAAAAACGTAGGTTCATGTATCTTCATTTGGGTAAAGTTGCTTAAAAATTTTACATCTTCTATTATTCTTGAAAGAGTTAAATTGCTTATTGTTCGTACGTGCTAGTACATATTCATAATCGCATATTTATATTAAATAATGAATGCAAAAAAATATGGGACATATTAAAAATGGAATAAAGATGACCTTTTACATTTAGAACAGGACGAGGCGATGAAATGCACCGGGTTCGGGCCTCAATCGATTTTCAGTTAGGAAGCTTCGAAGGCTTGAAGCGCGCGCAGTGCAATTTGTGATGTATTCTCTACCTCGGACCCCGCAGGCGTCCCGCAGTCCAGACCTCCCTTTACCTCCCTGCATCCTCCATAGACCACACCCTACCTCGCACCGGTACACCGTGCAATCCATCAATAACTACACATATCAAACAGCAGCCTCCCCCTCCCGCTAAACAGATGCCTGATCTATTTCATAATTTTGTATTGGATGAGAACCGTATTAAAAGTCACTCCCTAAAGAAGAAGCGATGGTCTAAGCTAAATAGGCACTTTCTATACCGATTAAAGGAAATCAGAATGTACCTACCTTATGTTATCTACACTTACAGACTTTATGGGCACTAATATATTTTGGTTTCAATGAAGGATGCATTATTCGATTCTACATGTCAATATACTAATTATGTTATCCAAGGTTTTCAAATTAATATTACAATTTTGAATGTTTCAATACTTAAACGGTTTACGAAATCCAAAATCCGTTTATGAAAAATGAATTGATCAGTGGTTAGCACCATCGAGCTTAATTGTAGAGAAGTAAAATTGACTTATTAAATTTGTTAATTACAGCCTCTATAATTAGTTATGGTCAATAATGTTTGTATGTTTATAAACCTATAAGCTTTCCTCCTAAATTATTTAACTTCTCCGTGGCAACTCTTGCGATCTGCTTAAAAACTGTTCCTGGTACCTGTAAGAAATAAAAACAAATTAATATAAGTAGTAATAATTTCCCAATATGATTTCCCAATGGTGCCATGGGCATACGCATCATCAATAATAACTGCACCCATAAGATTCACATACACAGCAGAAGTGAAACATACAACGGCATTGGTCTGTTGATCGAATTTCCAATACTGCATTACGTACCTACTACCTACCTAATACAAAAATGAAATTGCCGCCAAAACAAGTGCAAAGAATCCCCATTATTGCGCTTGACCCGCAACCCCACCTGAACTTCGGTCTGTTGTACTCCCGTCCACATTTACGGAGATCTCTTGGCCTATTAAGATGCGCTAGAAATGCGGCGCACTGTACGCTCGGGTCTCGTTTTCGTAGGAGGCGAGCTACCCTTGCTCACGCCCACCGTTCTGCGCTTACAATAGCAGGAGATAGGCACGCGATCCTTGACGCCCAGAGTTTCTCGTACTGCGGCGGATAAGGCGTGAGTTGAATAATTCCTTCACGCCCTCTGCCTCATCTTTAAGAGTATGACTGCGTCGCAAAAAAAAAAATTGCCATCCCAATTCCTCTCCCTTCGACTCGACACTGAGACAGGTCGCGAGAGGTCGCCGCCATGGCAAAAGACGATGAGGTCAATCTTCTAACTAATCTTCTATCACCGTATTGTTTTACCTAGATACAAAGGTAGCCCACAAACACTTATTGAATATATGATGCGATTTAATAAAAAAATATTGAGAATCGAAACCTTACTTCAGTACCAACCCACAATTAAGAGATAATTTAGAAGATCAAGAATCCGTCCCTGCACTTTGTATTGTACGACTCCGTAATTAGTCCTCGGCGCAGCGCAGCACCCAGACCATGATAGGTACACTTTTATAGATATCTAGGTAACCCCCTGGCAAATCAATAACATTCGAAGGGTGGTGACAACTACACCCTAGGGTGGCAGGGAGATATAATCTCTGTACCGTATTCAATTTATCAATAGACACTAAAGATCCGATTGAGGGGGTTAGGAGTTTACATTTGTGAATACATCTAGACAATCGATAAACCTTCATACGATATCGTTTAATGACATGGTTTGTCGCTAGCTTAGACAAAATTATTTTAGGCATATTGTCTCAACAGTTTGGTAAAAAATATTAACTTTCATTATAGTCTGGCCTACGTAAAATGCAGAAGCTTAAAAACTACCATCCAACTCTACGCTAAGAGGCAAGGTCAAATTGAAGTGATGAATATTACAGTATATTGCTATCTGCGAAAATATAAAAGGATAAGTTCAAATGAAAAAGTCGGGCAGTAAGGATATTCGATTTTCATGAAAACTCTTCCTTTCTTCTCTGGCTTTTTGCCAACTAGTTCAAGGACGGAAAACTCGCTATCAACTTCGTACAGTTCAATGAACTGGCTGGAGAGTCAGACAGACTAGTTTTAGTTCTTCACCTAGCTACTACATAGCTAGCACATGTAATACATTCAGTATGTATATCAAATACTAGGCACCAGGCTAACTAAGCATCGTTGGCCAATTAAATGCTTTAGTTTCTCATTACGATATTGATAGCTGGACCACCCTTCACCCCCACTCGCGACGCCAGCCATCCTCCTACCGCCATCTCCCACTTCAGCCGCCCAAGAAAACAAACATTCCTAGTCTAGGTGGGTAAATACTTAATTTCACTTAATAATATTTTTTTATTTAGCTTAATATGCTAATGCAGATGATTTTTCCAATTAGCTTTTATTTCTATACCAACACATGTGGTTGCGGATCAAGCGGCTATAAGTACCGCGGCCCTGGCCTGAAGCGTAAGGAACGGTGTAGTTTTTAGTCAGTAAGAATCTGACACTCCATCTCACCTCACCCTGGGAGAAGTCATTTGATGATATTCCCCCCTAAAAAAAGCTATACATAGCATATGTACACATCGACACACATTCTGACCGATTCCGACCACTTTACTGCGATTAAACAATCTCAACAGTTAAAACTCATAGGATGAAGTAAATTTTTGCGTGAATATTCGGTCAAATTCATGGCAATTCACCATTTCTCTAACCTTATTCTTTTCTATATGTTCAACTTGCTACTCCGGCGCGGTTTTATCCGTTGCCCTGCTCCTTCAGATCGTAGTGAGATGTTCGAGGCCGCTGCCTCGAATCTTGCGGGCAGCGGAGCGGGCATCACAGACCCGTTCTCGAAACTAGCGGGTGGATCGCGCGTCATTGTAACAGCTTATTGTTGTGTTCATTATTGTGTCGTCGACATATTTCCTTATATTCGCGAACGAAATTTCCGAACAATGGCGGCAACATCTTTTTGATTCAAATTTATTCCTAACGTCGATTTTGGACACCTCGTCCACCACCGCGGTCACCTCTCGAGTAAAGTACACCGCTCGCTGCCCGCGCCCGTCCTGCTGCCGCGCCGCTGTATTCGAGGGCAGGTGCATTTGATTATACGCGTAAGATCCTGCCGCTCCCGCGCCGCCGTCGCCGCCGCCTCGCTGCCCGCGAGATTCGAGGCAGAGGCCTTATAACCATCCTTGATAAATTGACTAACAAACACAAAAAGAATTGTTCAATTCGAACCCTTAGTTCCGGAGATTCGTACGTATTATAAAATAAATAGCTAGATTTTTACCTCTAGGACCGAGTTGACGAAGTTCGAGAGCCCCTCGGCGCCTCCCACTATGGCCTTTCCAGCGCTATAAAATTTATCTCCCGAATTTCCATACTTTTCTTCCTCCCTTATGGTATCCACTATAGGCTGCGGCTGCAGAGAACATCAATGTTTTTTTATTTTTAAAGTGATACACATAACAGCAAAAAATTGTCACATTGTTTGATCTAGTAGGTAAGTATAAAAATCAAATAGAAGTAAAAATTGCTCAGTAATTTGTATTGTCCGCTTTTCGCAACGAACAATTTTTATATGCGATTGGTTAACGAACTTCGGTACTACTTCAAATAGATTATTGACTCCATTTCACAACAATAATGTTGAGAATCTATCCTGTAATAAGTAACTTTTAACGAGGTGCGTGGCAAAATAGTTTTAATGAGGATACCTGAAATATTCCGGCCACAACTCCTTGAATATTTTCCTTGATTGATAATTTCTTGCTGCCGAAACCTTCAGATTCTTGTAAGGCAGTTTCTAAAGTGGATACAGGAGCTGCAAATAGTCCATCCTGATGAACATTAGCCTGTAACAAATGACAGATTATTGCAATTATTGGGACTTAACTACCTTAGACATCTCCATTCTCTTTACCTTACGACCAAGCCAAGGTAAACGAAGAAGGTAAAGAAGACGAAAAGAGATAACAGAACTTGAGAGGTGAATAAACGCCGATTTTATTGTATTTAGCTGTATAAAACTGGAAATTCTACTGTGAACTCTAAATACTGTAACTTACAGGATTGAATATTAGATGGTCGCTTTTGATGTTAGTTCATAATTTTAAACAAACCATCATACCTTTGCGTTTAACGTGCCTTCCAAAAGATTTTGTGCAGCTTGTACTTTGTAGGTAATTAAGTTTCCTCCATTATTCGATAGATGGTCACCTCCAGGGTAGTTCTCAGGGTCTAGAGGTTGATTTTGCAACACATCGGAACCAGCTTGAGGCTGGTCGTAAACCGGCAGGTCAATGCGAATCGGATCGTCGACAGGTGCTGAGAGACACATCTGGACTAGCAGAAGAACTGTCACGACTTTTGTAAGTGCCATGCTGGAAGAAATATTTTAAAGATAGTTTATTTCGAAAGTAAACCAACACAATTACTTGAATGTGTGTAATTTCAGAATCATGTCATTCTATAACTATCCCACTACTGACAAAAAACAATTTTCTCACGCTGCGGGTGCGCAGCGTGGTAATTTAATCTACTACTATCTGATACTATCTAATACTATCTGACTCGGATCAGAAGAAAGAATGGGGTGGTTCTTAGTCATTAACGGTCTAACAGTCTAGCACTTCCTTTCACTCCATTCAGGCTGGTAATAGTCATTTAATGATCGCAATTATATTGGGCCGTGGCCCCGGCTTCGGATCAGGAGAAGCAATGGTGTGGTTTTTAGTCAGCAAGACTCTATCACTACATCTTGCGCTTCCCCTTCCTTTAAAAAAAATCACGGAATCAAGTCAAGCAGTACCAAAATTCTAAATTTCTCAGTATGATTCATAAAAAGGGATCCTAATATCGCTAATTGATGTGGGATCCGGAGCAATTGGGTTAATCATTATTATCCTTTACTGTCTAGTCAAAGGCAGTCTAATCGCCTATTTCGTAAAGAACATCGCTACCAATTATTCAGTAATAAAAAAGTACTGATGATCCGTGGAATGACTAGTCTCTTCCTGTTCTGTAGCATTGTCATCAACTTCGTAAGTTATCATCAGCCTTTTAGGGCCCCATCTGTTCGGACTGGTTCTAGTCCGCAGACCCGCGCTTACGGTGGCCGGAGATCGTATCTCGATGCACGACGCCCGGATGGCCGTCAACTGCGGCAGCAGGGACGTGAAGAAGAGGCAATCCTCCTCACGCGCTCCATCTCCTTTTTGGAAGCATAACTGCTTCATATAAAGAGGAGACGGTTTCCCAGTTCTTTTCGCTTTGTACCATGGTCCTAACCAAGCAACCAAGCCCAAGCAAGGCACTCCGCCAACGTATGCTCTCAATTGCTGGACTATTTCATTCATGTTAATAGAGTTCGTATGTTGATAGTATCGTTTGTAGGTAGGTACTATCCGTTGTTTTTTCTAATAAGCGTAAAAAAGGTAATAAATATTTTTTTTATTAGTACGCACATTAAGAAGAACAGCTATTTCGTAAAATTGCTATCGTGAGGCAATTTAAATCAATTAGATAGATACGAACGTTTCTTTCGACCCGAGAAGATGTATCAAAAGTCAATACGGCATCGCTGAAGAAAACAACACTGCTCAAGTCTCGATCATATCACAGACTTTTTCATAGTGTACACTCCCTAAGCTTAACCTCTTCTGTGTAACTTGTAGCAGCTTATGGATATGGTCAATGGTATTATGTAAAGTTTTCGAAAACCGAATAGTTTGCAGACACGCTGGCTGAAGCGACACGGGTTGACGAATTAATTATCCAGTAAGGTGTTGGCTCCTGTCTTGAAGAAGACAACCACACTCTACTTTTGTTCCATGATTGTGGCGGTACTCTTTCAACCAAAACGGAGTAAAGAGCCTCTAGGAATAGCTTTTAATACCGGTTTTACACATGTTTTCCGAAGCTCTAAGGTTAAGTAATAGGTCTTCAGCTTCAGCCAGAGATAAATAGCATCAGGAAATTCTCTTCATAGAATAAACATTCACACTCTTACATTACATTATCATAAAAATTAGAATATTATGATAAGAAAATAGTTTTTTTGTAATGAAGTCACACCAAATGACATTAATTGGAACACAAACTTACATGAATAAAATGAGAAAATCTCAAATCGTTTCAAATCACAACGGCACTCTTATTCATGAGTAGCGAGAGCGTGCTGCTGTGACATCTTTTAATCTTTCAGAATTCACTTGCATAAGTGTATATTTTTCAACAAAAGCCATTATTGCTTGTCTTATCAGGATAGGTACCTATAAGTTCGTATCCATATTTTTTTTATGAATTTAGCACTCCTCACATTAGTTACTACTTGTATACCAAATGACACATTAGGTACTCATCGATGATTCAACTGAATGCAACATACAATAGGTGGTGCAAAATGTAGATGTACTTATTATTATACTTCAGTGAAAAAAGGTCTTAAATAAAATATTAGGTATACTTACCCCCGGTTTCCGAAAGGCCGATCAATGTTAAAATCAATTTAATCTCTTGTCAAGTCATCTGATTCGTTGACTGAATTATCAACAACCAATCAGATGTCTTGACAAGAGATTAAATTGATTTTAACATTGATTGGCCTTTCGGAAACCGGGTGTTAATATATATATAAAACATATAAATAAAAAAAATACTTAAATTTGCTTTGTCAGTCAGATTTCAAGTACTTATCTACATACAGTAGGTAAATAATAAGTATATCTACCTAAATAAATATACATATAATAATGTCCTTAGTGTTCATAATGATGTTAATTAATTAATGTGCAACCTTCTATTAGTTGTGCAATGATGGAAAGCACAAATTGTCCTGACTCATTTAAATACACAAGGAATCATTTTTAAGCCACAATCTCCGTCAAATTTCTTCAAAACTAAACAAATGTTGCATAGCATGCATAGCTGATTACGTCGGAAGTATAAGACAGTTAGTTATTCTTAAAATGCATATTAACAAAACCCATAAATATATACAACATCTATCTATGCTATGTATATTTAATAGCAATAGATAGGGTACACTAATATCACTATAAAAAAATCCGGTCACATTCAGCACAAAAATCGGAAACATTCTTATAATCAACACAGATTATGTACTTTCGCCGAAATTTAACAAAAACACAGAAAAAGTAAAAAAATATCCGCGACAGCATTGATATTACGAGAGCATTGACGTAATATTTGAATGGAGTTACTTACTTGCGAATCCGCGAAGTTGTCGTCTGCGATGCGTACGCGCCGATTTACCACTGCCATAGACCGAGCGGTTGCACACTTTCACGGCTTACGTCACTCATTGGGCCTTGGCACTTGTACCAAATGTGTGGTGGATGTGGCCACACTGACCACCTTCATACTTAGTGATTAACATTAACCTATTAGTAATTGTTCTTCATTAGTATCTGCCTTGTAATAATTTAATCATATATACCGTCCTTTTATAGCAATTGATTAAATCTAAAAGTTTTTAAACATAGATTATAACAATATTATCATTATGTGGTAATAGTACCTACCTACCTATATGGTTTAAATGCAACTCTGTCTGTCACTTATTAGATTCAAAAGACGTTATGTTATTTATTATTGTTGGTTAATGTCCTGAATATTAATTAATGAGTACCTACGTAACGGTCATTATATTTCATTACATAAGTAGCTATCATTTAATTTGATAACGAAAAATGGGAACATTATTATAGGTAATCTAGTAGGCTTTATGGAAAATGGAAAAAATTACCTACGTATATGTAGATATGTCATAAAACCGCAAAGCCACTGTTGTCGCCGAAACAATGTATTTATTATGCGTAATTGGGTAACTTTTTAAATTACGTAAAGTTTGAAAAGTCGTAAACTGTCTTGGCATAGGAATGTAAAAGAACTTCTTGATCTTTGACATTGACAACGCACGATGTTCATTCGATATCGATTCTGTGTGTGTAGGTTCATTGCAATGGGATTATTTCTTAGCAAAAAATATATTTATTTTATGACTCCACCAACACCATCAGAGGACAGTAAGCACTCGGCACAGCTCCAGGACAAGAACACCATCGAGGAGACAAGGGCCTTTTTAGGGGAACGGAGAGGATTCGGCCCTACGACCTTTTGACACACGGTGAAACAAAACGCTAGCGTTGTTTCATGCCGGGGATGGTAAATACAGAGAGAAATTGAAGTTATTCCACGGTATACGACACGTTAGTATTGAATGTTCCATGATTTGGGGAATTCTTGAAGAAATTACTTCTTGATGAAAAAAGTGGTCATATGTCTATCACATTTAGTGGCGGAGCCCAGCTTAGTAAACTTTCAGTTACTATCAGGGTAAACAGGTACTGGATTCTGGAAATTTGGTTATAGAAACAAAAGTAGTAGGTGGAATGACATTTTCATCCTCCGCTGTGTGTAATTTCCATTTTTAAACCACGATTAATTCGGCACATTTTATAAATGCAATTTTTTTTAAATGTAATAGTTCGGCAAACGAAAACCGCATACGGATTATCTGATGGTAAGCAATCAGCGCTGCCCATGGACACCTGCAACGGAGGAGTTACGAGTGCGTTGCCAACCTTTTAGGGATTAGGGATTTGGAGATTTAGGAACTGGGGAGGGATTAGGGAAGGGGAAGGATTGGGCCTCCGGTAACCTCACTCACACGGCGAAACACAACACTGTGGTTGTTTCACGCCGGTTTTCTGTGAGGCCGTGGTATCACTCCGGTCGAGCCGACCCATTCGTGCCGAAGCATGGCTCTCCCACACTTCTCCCACACACGCAATCTCTTTAGCATAAAATTAAGCTCACATCTCATCATCACATCAGATAAGAGCCTACTGCTCAGAAAAGGCATCTTACACGGAGTATGTTTGAACATTAACCATCAGGCTTGCTAAAGGCAGATTGGTGTTCACGAGGTTTACCTTCACCATTTGTCACGTGTGACAAAAACAAAGTGTACCTAAGTAACAAAGTGTACCTAATTGCACTCGCAAATAAACACAACTCGGCTAGGTCGGATCTTGTCGTATACCGCATAAGTATACTGCAAAGCCTGAAGACAAAGGTCTTCAAAGACTGTATCCTACTAGTAATAACATACAAGGCCAAGAACACCAATTTAAAGTCACTCAGCAAGCTATGAAGAGGGCGGTCATCGCTTTGTCATTGCCGATATAGCCCAGGGGATCAACAATCTAGGTGCGAGTACTCGTAGTACCAGAACCAGACCCGAGCGTACGGCGCATAGCATTCCGAGCGCGCCTCAAAGAGCTAATAGACCTAAACAGACGGGGCCCCATAGGGCTGATGTTCAGCCGGGGTTGCGGGTTAAGCGCAGTGAGTCGCCGCGGCCTCGGTCCAGAGCAGGAGAAGGACCGGAGGGTTTTTAGGGAGTAAGAGCCTGACACTCTCTCTCGCTTTACCCTGGGCGGGAGAAGTCATTTAATGATTTCCCCGGACAAAAAAAGGCGTGCAATTGGAGAGGCAATTACGAAATAATTATCTCGAAGATAAGTATTTTCCGGTTCCAGATGCTGCGATTGCAACAATTCAAACCAGCTTGAGTCTGGTCGTAAACTGATAGGTCAACAAGCAGACGAACCGTCACGTGCTTAGCAAGAAATGTGTTGCTAGAAAAACAAGACCGTTATTTTAAAGTCAACCAACACCACTAGTATTCACATATTAAATTAGTAAAAACTAGTCAGAGATTAGTATTATTTTTGTCAACATAGGTTTCTATAATAACTCAAAAATGATATAAGCGAGTGGCGCTGTCAAGAAAACCTCTCTTCTCACAAGATGTAGCAAAAAAACTGGGGGGGGGCACAGGTAAAGTCAATTACAGATGGCGTGACAATCGTTGGTACCTCATTCAGCCGACCGCAACTCTTTGAGATTGTGTATTAATAAAAATATATTATTGGCGGAAGAGTGACGTCTTGGCTGTCATCGGAGGGGATGTTGGTGGGAGAAGCTACGGTTGCCTATAAAAGGGCCTGCGCGCTCAGTGGAGTCCTCTTTCTGCGTTGAGTACACATGGTACAAGGGAACCTCTGCTCGTTTGAAGGGTTAAACTGTCTTGTCTGCTATTAATTTTGCGTGTCTTTAGTTTAGATTGATCTATGTTTGTAATTTCAAAATTCGTTATTTAATTAAAATTTAAATTGTTGTTTATTGTAATTGTGTTATTAATAAATAAGATTGTGATTTGTATTTTTTTTAATATTTTCTTCCTGAAGTTGCCAAAATCAGAAGTGGGATACGCCTCGCGTTCCATTTCGTTTTGTTCGCCTTGAATCAAGACAGTTTAAAACTTCGTAACGTATTTTTTTTTCTTTTTCTTAAGTGGGTACATTTCAACATTTAAATTAACTGTTAAGCATTTGTAACGTCCGCGTAATTAATAAGGTTCAAGTGTAAGTGTGTATTAGTGGTTTTGGTGAGTACGTTCCAGTTTTTCTTGATATTTAGAAAGCAAATTCTTTTGTTTACGTATAGTTGTAGAATTTTACAATCATATGTTTTGATTTGTTGCTATTCATACAATTGCTTTGATTTATTTAAATTTTCTACCGATTCCTTTTATTTGATTTGAAACAAGTTAGAAAGAAACAAGATGCCTAATAGCCATAGAAGAAGAGGCCGTTCAGTGAGTCGAGAATCGCGTCATCATCGTCGTGATGTGCGCTCTAGGAGCCGTGAATCTCGCTCTCGGGGTCGCATCTCACGTTCTAGGGGTCGTGAATCGCACAATAGTCGACTTGATTTGCAAGGGAATAGAATTCCTAGGCAACCTGATATTGCTTCTAACAGTCTATTAACTCAACAAATGCAACAAATTTTAGATCGATTGACATCGCTTGAGGAAGACCGGCGTGTGTCACGTGCAGCATCGCTGCGACAACCGTCCAACCAGCAGCAGCAGCTCGTGGAAGAGACTGCGACTACGGCACGAGATGGAGCAGGTTTTCGTGACTCGGCAGCTCCGTCTTCACCTGGACGTTCCGTGAGTGCAGCCGCCGATCGCGATGCTACCGTGACCGATCGTTTGATTGACGCCATACGATCCATCAACACTACGGTAAGATCCAACCAAGCTTATTTTATTTCTAATTTCGATCCTAGTGTCAATGATATAGACACTTGGTGCGAGGAGGTAGACCGCGCGAAGGTTTCAAATAATTGGACTGATAATGAATGCTTGTCCCGCATTGGGAATTGCCTCAAAGGAGATTCGAAGACGTGGCTCAATGAGTGGGTCACTAGTGACCGCACATGGAGCAACTTTATAAGGGAATTCAAGCCCTTATGTCCTAGGAAGCCAGATGTAGCGAATATCCTATACGAGGTTATGAGCACAAACTCTGATAGGTACCCAACATATGCCGATTATGCCCGTCGCTCTTTATTGAGACTCCGTATAGTCAAGGGCTTAAGTGATGAACTCATTTCTGCAATTGTGATTCGAGGCGTAATGGATCCTCAAATCCGCGCCGCTGCCACAAATGCAAAGCTAATGCCTAACGAATTAGTAGAATACCTCTCCATCTACGTTAAATCGAACTTAAACTCAAAAAAGTATACCAACCCTTCTAATAATGATCGTTCTTTTAAATCTACCCTCGAAACAAGTCAGCGTAAGCGAAAATTCGAAGATGGCACATGCTTTTTGTGTGGGAAATATGGTCATAAGTCTTCGAATTGTCACAAACGCCAGGCTGCTAACAGTTCTAATAATAGCAATGGAAATGTACAAAGAAATTATCCAGTCTCCAGCTCAAGTAAAACAGAGCCATGTAGTTTTTGCAAAAAACCTGGTCATAGGGTAGAAACGTGTTTCGCTAAACAAAAATCAGAGTCGAATAACGCGGAAAATGTTAACTTTTGTCGTAAGAATCTTGACAGCGGGCGTAACGATATTGTTGTAGCGGTCATTCAAGGCATACCTGTCGATGTCCTCATCGACAGCGGGTCGAGCATATCACTGATTTCATCTTCGTTACTGAAATATTTTAAATGCGCGCGCAAGCCTGCCTTCAGAATTTTAAGAGGTATCGGTAGTCAAGACGTTGAATCTACTTACTATGTCACGTTGCCGATAGAATTCGATGAAATAACCTTGGAGGTAGACTTGCATGCAGTATCGCCAGAGTTTCTAAACACGCCTGTTATTGTTGGGACTGATGTGTTAAATCGTGACGGAGTGACCTACGTTCGTACACGTGATCGACAACATCTTGCTTATAATAATAGGTCGCCATATAACGTTATGTGCGCTGTGACAATACATGATACCCCCATTAAGACACCTTTGACCGGTCGCGACCTAGAAAGGCTGCTTGAGTTGATCAACGAATTTTCAAAAT